ACAGAGGAGGAAGGGAGCAGGGATGCTCCATGCATGGAAGGAGAGTGGCTTCTCCTCCAGCCCTCTGGAATGAGGGCTTTGCCCTGGAGCCCTCCCTGCAGCCACAGGGATGAGTGGGGGATCTGTGGGATGCCCCCACACCCCACCCAGACCCAGCATCCAGCCATGGGACAGCTGCAGGACCATGGGGACATCCCAAAGATGCCAAAATCCCCAGGAAGAAGCCAAGGAGGGATGGAAGGATCTTTGCATCTTCAGCAGAGCTGAGGGGAGGCAGCTCCAAAGGAAAAGCAAAGTCTGGAGCCAGGAGCAAAGGGAGCCCCGCTGCCCCAGAGCCTGCAGCAGGTGCTGCCCATGAGTTAAAGGGAAAAATTCTCCTTCAAGCAAAAGTAAAACTGGGGCTGCAGCCAGGCTGAGCACAGAGCAGTCAGGGCAAAATATTCACATTAAATTAATTTTGCTTCAGGGTAAAATATTTACATTAAGTAAATATTTTGGTGCATCCTTGAAATGAGGTGCCCCAACAAGCCAATGCAACCAGTGATGGGGTCAGCAGAGTGGTTGAGGTGGCTTTGCCCACATTTCCTGGCTCCTGACCCCTCAAACCCACTGCAGATTTTTTTTTGTGAGGGTTTTTGGCCTCGCCTGTCCCTGAGCTGGCATTGCAAAAATGCCTGTGCAAATAAACACCCCTTTGCCAGCTCATCCTTAATGCTGGAATAGTGCTGGGATACAAATTGTGTTTATTTAATTATTTGCAATTATTTGCACAGAAAACTGAAGGAATCCCCCCAAAGTGCTGGGGGTCACTGGGGCTGTGTATGATTCTACCAGGACCCCTCTCCTGTGACCCCAAAACCTTCCCACCCCACACCTCAGGGAAAATGCTGACTTTGGGGAGATCACGCCCAGAAATCAGATTTCTCTGGGGTTTTTCCACTTCTCCCCTTCAATGAAAGCACATTCTTTTAATGCCAATGTTTAATTATGCAATATTGAGCTGTATTATTGTAATTAACCTGTGGTTAAATGGGCTGGAGCTGTGAGGGGCCGGGGGTGCCTTTGGGGGCCCTCGGGTGCCTTTGATGTCCCCACAGCTCTGGGGGGTGAAATCTTCCACAATTCCAGCAGCAAAATCCATCATTTCTCACCAACCAACCCAACCCAACCCACAGACACCTCAATTCATTCACCACCTGCCCGGTTTGGCAGGGGGACAATGTCCCTCTGTGTCCCCCCACCAAGGTCCCTCCATGTCCCCCAATCCTGACTGGAACCAGGCTGGGCCTTTAGGAATATTGTAAACCTTCAGGAATATTTTAAGCCTTTAGGGATATTTAAAACCTATTTCAAACCTATCTTAACTCTCTAGGAATATTTTAACCCTTCAGGAATATTTAAAAACCTTTAGGAATAGTTTAACCCTTTAGGAATATTTAAAACCCTTTAGAAATACCTTGACTCTTTAAGAATATCTTAACCCTTCAGGAATATCTTAACTCTTTAGGAATATTTTAACCCTTGAAGAATATTTAAAACCCTTCAGGAATATCTTAACTCTCTAGGAATAATTTAAACCTTCAGGAATATTTAAAATCCCTTAGGAATATCTTAACTCTTTAAGAATATCTTAACCCTTTAGGGATATTTTAGCCCTTTAGGAATATTTAAAACCCTTTAGGAACATTTTAACTCTTTAGGAATATTTTAACCCTTTTAGAATATTTAAAACCCTTTAGGAATATTTAAAAACCTTTAGGAGTATCTTAACCCTTTAGGAACATTTAAAAACCTTCAGGAATATTTTAACGCTTTAGGAATATCTTAACCAATTAGGAATATTTTAACTCTTTAGGAATACCTTAACCCTTCAGGACTATTTAAATCCCTTAGGAATATTTAAAACCCTTTAGAAATATTTTAAACCTTTAGGAATATTTAAAACCCTTTGGGAATACTTTAACCCTTTAGAAATATTTTAAACCTTTAGAAATATCTTAACCCTTTAGAAATATTTAAAATCCTTTAGGAATATTTTAACCCTTTAAGAATATCTTAACCCTTTAGGAATATCTTAACCCTTAGGAATATTTTAACCCTTAGGAATATTTAAATCCCTTTAGGAATATCCTTTAGGAATGTTTTTATGGGATTTTGGCTGGCAGTGCCCCAGAGCTGCTCTGTCCCCGGTCCCAGGGAGGTTCTGCTCAGTCCCAGCACCCCCAAACCAGCCCTGGCACCCCCAAACCAGCCCTGGCACTGCCAGCCCCCCCTGAGCTCCATGCTGGGAACATCCCCAGGGATTGCTCCAGGCAGATTCTCCCCCTCACTTCCTTCCTCGCTATTTTTGATTTTATTTTATTTTATTTCACCCCTGGCAGAGGGTGGTGAGACATCCCAGAATCCCCAAACCTCAGTGCTGGCCTTCTAGGACTGGAATTCAAGATCCCAAACTTTTAATGACAAAATTTAAAAAACAACCCCAAACCCCCAGAATAAACAGCAAACAATCACTCAGGCTTTTATCTGCAGGAATGGGTTTTCTTTTTTTTGGTGCTTTCTGAATTTTCAAGCCATCAAGGAGCAGTTCCGCCCCACTGTGGGCCATCCCTCCCCCAAAGCAGACAAAAAAAGCCAAACTCCTTTTAAAGCACTTTTTTTCTTTTTTTTTTATTGATTTCATTGAAAACAGAACAAGAAAATGATCAGAGCCAAAAGGCTGCCCCTTTTAAAACTGTCAAAAACATTAACAGAAAAAAATAATAATAATAAACATGATGGCATTATGAATGTTCTAGAAGAGATGAACAAAAAAAAAAAACTTGTTACTGCACTAATTACAGTATTTAAAGATATATGCAAAAAAAAAAATTAAGATAATGACCTGCCTGGCCACCACACAAAAGGTGATGGCAAATTTATTCACACTACAATACTAACAATTTAAAAAAAGTTTTGTTTTTTTCCTGCATTTTTATACTAAAATCACTTTGTTCTTTTTATACAATTGATAAGTTTATATTCACGTGGTGAGCAAAAATCACACCAGAATCAGCACCGTTTTGTTTTGTGGTTTCTTTTTGTTGTCGTTTTGGTTTTTTTGGTTTTTTTGTGGGTTTTGTTGTTTTTTGTGGTTTTTTTTTTTAAGCTTTTTTTTTGCCTTTTTTTTCTTCCATGTTTTTAATGCTTGTCCCCGATGTTTCAATAATGGTAAAAAATAAATCAGTTTATTGAAACCTCATAGCGTGTGGCTTAAAAATCAATCCAAGGTGCCCAGCATGGAGCAAAGGGGTGGGAACAGACGAGCTGGTGGCAGCTGGGATCTTCTCACCCTGACACGTCTGTCCACCCCAGCCAGTCCAGGTCCTCTATAATATATATATCATTCACTTTATCTTTAAAAAAAGGGGAGGGAAAACTGGTTTTCTTTAGGAATTAGTGTCTTGTAAAATCCTCTTCAGCCTTCTCTCTCTCTAAAACCACTGGTGGGATGGGGTGAGGGGAATTCCTTCACGGAGGAACCCAACACTGAGACAGGAGCAGGGCGTGGAGCAGAGCTGGTCTGAACGGAGAAAATCCAGGAGGGAGAGAGCCTGGGATCACAGGGGAAGATTCTGGGATTCTTCTCATCAGATGAGAAAAAAGGGTTTGGAGAGAATTGAGGGTATTTTGTAGGGCCCCACCACAACGTCCTGCGAGATGGGGGAGGAATTATTCATTCATATATTAAAAAAAAAAAAAACAAACAAACAAAACAAAAGAAACCAACCAACCAACCAAACCAACCAAACCAACAAAAAACCAACCAGCACAACCTGCCCCGGGGCTGTGCCAAGGACACCCAGAGGCAGCTCCCTCCCAGAACCGAGTCCCATCAAGTATGCAGAGTTTGCTGTGGCGGGGAGGGGCGGGAGGGCTCCAGGGCATTCTGAGGACGGCGGGAGGGCTCCCCTGCCTCTGACAGCATCAGCGCCTTCACAGGGGACGCCAGGACAGCTCGGGTGGCCAAACAAATGCAACAGCCACCCCTGCACACAGAGCTGTGAAACCCAGCAGCTTTCCAGGAGCAGGGAGGGGAGAACAACACCACAGAGGTGGGATTTGCTTTCACTCCTTCCTCAAGTAACAGTCGGTGGCACAGCCCTAAGTGTCACAAACCCTTGGCTTTCACTGAGCGGGGTTTTTTATCCTTTTTTCCTTTTTTTTTTTTCTTTTTTCCTTTTTTTTTTTTTTTAATTTTCCGTGTTGTTTTGTGTCTTTTTTTCTCTCTCTCTCTCTCTTCTCTCTCTTTAAATTTTGACAGTACGTGAGTGCCTGGGGTGGGAGGGTGGGCGTCAGAAGGGGCCGGCGGCGCTGGCGGCCGAGCTGGTGTCGGGCAGCCCGTTCTCCTGCGTGTCCTGGGCAGAGGTGCTGGCCTGCCGCTGCGCCAGCGCCGAGCTCGAGTGTTTGCACTTGGGTGAACCGCACTGACAGCTGAAGAATTTGCCTTTGATGTCCCAGAACCTGTCCCCGTAGTCGAAGCTGCAAGAGAGAGAGCGAGACAGGAGGGGTCAGTGAGACATCAGTGCTACCACAGCTAAAGAGAACCTGGGGTGGGCTGGGTTGGAGCAGCCTCAGAGATCATCCTGTTCCATGGGCAGGGACAGCTTCCATTAGAGCTCCAGCCTGGCCTTGGACAGCTCCAGGGGCAGCCACAGCTTCTCTGGGCACCCTGTGCCAGGGCCTCACTGCTCTCATTGTGGAAGGCTACAGTGACCAATCCTATCCAGGGAGGCCACAACCCGACAGATTTCTTCCTTTATCTAACACAATCTAACCCTGCCCTCTGGCAGTGGGAAGCCATTCCCCCTTGTCCTGTCCTTCCATCCCTTGTCCTGTCCCTCCATCCCTTGTCCCCAGTCCCTCTCCAGCTCTCCTGGAGCCCCTTCAGGCCCTGGCAGGGGCTCTGAGCTCTCCCTGGAGCCTTCTCCTCTCCAGGTGAGCACCCCCAGCTCTCCCAGCCTGGCTCCAGCCCTGGAGCAGCTCTGTGGCCTCCTCTGGATCTCTCCAGCAGCTCCAGCTCCTCCCTGGGCTGGAGGAACCCTACTAGTTCTCTTCTTACTAACTATTCTAGAAGTATCAGTAGCGATAATCCAGGCCTATGTTTTCGTACTCCTACTAAGCCTCTACCTACAAGAAAATCTCTAACTCTCAATGGCACACCAAGCACATTCTTACCACACAGTTGACCCTAGCCCGTGACCCATCCTAGCAGCAGCCACTGTTCTAATAACTACCTCAGGGCTGGGGCAGCTCTGCAGTGGGGTCTCACCTGGGCACAGGGGCACAATCCCCCCTTTCCTGCTGCCCACGCTGGGCTCAGGGCTATGAGTGGGCACGGCCAGGTCGATCCTGGAGCTTTGCAAACTTCAGGGGGACCCCAAGGGAGCACAGGGATGGAGTGGGGCAGCTGGGGAGCAGCACAGCGCAGTGTCCCCAGCAGGGGTGGCAGGGGTGGCACGTACCCGATCTCCTCTCCAGCCTCTATGTGCCGGGTGCTGAAGAAGGCGATGCGGGGGAAGCGCAGGTCCTGGTGGGACATGAACACCCGCACGGGGATGAGGTTGGGCTCGCACAGGTGGTTGATGAAGCGGCTGATGTTGCCATAGAAACGGGCGTCGATGCAGTAAACCTCTCCATCCTGGGGAGAAACGGGGCAGGGCTCGTCAGGGGTTCATTGGCTTTAATCAACGAGCAGGCTCTGCATTCATGCTGCACACAGCCCCAGGAGCAGTCGTGTGGGTTTGAATGGACTGGGAACACACACACACAGACTTTTATACACAACAGTACCCTGAAACCAGAGTTTACTGCACACCCCACACCCCCCAAGAGCTGGTTTTTAACACCCTGGCACACCAGTTCTCCCAGTCCAAGCACCAATTTGGCACAATGGGATTGAGGTTCAGTGCAGACACCTTACGGGTGTTCCAGCCCCTGGATAGGGGAACAGGCATCTGTTCTGTCCTCTAATTGAACATGACAGCTTGGAAACACAAAGCCAGAGCCTTGAGAAAACACAGTGTTGTGCAGATAAGAGAGAAAGTGAGAACACAAAAATTCCCTTTCCAGAGAGCCCAGAGAGCAGTAATATTTTGTTTTCCTTGAAAATAAAAGAACCCCCCTCAGGGCTTTTTATTCCAGCAGAGAATGACTGTGCAAAGCAGAGGCTTTAATTACAGCAGCTAATTTCAGTTGCAAAGAGGCCAAAAGCAAAAGGATCCATTAGTGGTGCTCCAAGTCCCTTTTGGACAAGCACCTCGGATCGTTAATGGATGAGCTGTGCCACGTCACACTCGGGGTGCAGGAGCCCAGGAAAACATCCCCAGAACTGGGGGAGGCATCACCCCAGCAGGCCTGGGGCACATACAGTGTCACCAGCTCTGGTTTCATCAATCAGAGATTTCACTCCCTCAGTTTCATGCACAGAAATGCCATGGTGGGGCAGGATGACACATCCACATCCACAGCAGGACATGGGACACTCCAGGATCACCTCACAAGGAGCTGTAAGCAACAGCTCAAGGGACAGGGACAACAGAAAACAAAACCCAGACAACAGGAATGACAGCCCAGATAACAGACATGACAACCCAGAAAACAGAAAAGACAACCTAGGTAACAGAAATGACAACCCAGAGAACGGAAATGATAACCAGGTAACAGAAATGATAACCAGGTAACAGAAATGGCAGCACAGGTAACAGAAATGATAACCCAGATAACGGAAATGATAACCAGGTAACAGAAATGATAACCAGGTAACAGAAATGGCAGCACAGGTAACAGAAATGATAACCCAGATAACGGAAATGATAACCCAGATAACGGAAATGATAACCAGGTAACAGAAATGATAACCAGGTAACAGAAATGACAGCCCAACCACTCTCACCATTCCAGCCCTTCCTTTGATTCACACCAGGACCTGGAGGCCCCCCAGGGTTGGGATTCACACCCTGGCAATGCCCCATCACTCTGGAGGACACAAAACCTGCTGGCTCTGCCCTGCCCTTCCCTGCCCAGCCTGATGGGCAGCTTTAGCCATCCCCCAATGATTTGGTGCCTGCTTTTCTCCAGATGTTCCACCCTGGTGTCCCTTCCTGCCTCCCTGAAGGATTCCCAGGAGCCAGCACAGAGATTCTCCCTCAGGGCTGAGCAAGGGGCAGGGCAGGGCCCAGCTGGGCTCTGGCTCATAAACCAGCCAAAAGTCCTTTTCAACTTCTTAATTACAGTCTGACCCCCTGTTTGCACAGCAGACTCATTATTTCTCTTTTCTCAGCTTTTGAAATGTGTGTTGCTTTAAAGAAATAAGGAAAAAAATAAAGCAAAGCTTCTTTGTCACCAGCTGATGACAGAAACAAGGCACAGAGTGTTTTACAGCCTTCCTTGGAAGCCTCCCCAGTCCTGTGAGTCCCCAGCTCACCTTTTCTCACTTCTCCTTTCCCAGGGGGAGTCTGAAGTCATGGCCTTGCTTAAAACTTCCAGATTGTACTTTGCAAAGTAAAATTTCTGCCCTGAGAGCCCTCACAGAGGAGTGCAGGGCAACAAAGAGCAGCACAAGGTGCCTGATGGATCCTTTCTGAGTGAACAGGGTTTGTGGGGTGTTTTTTAATCTTTCCACTCATGATAACTTCGTGAAGAACTCACAGAGCTGCCAATCACACAGGTGCCAGGCTGGGAGTACCAAAACCTGGACAATGGAGCTCAGGATGCCCCAAGGGGTTTGACAGGAGAGCATCTTGCTCAGAAGTGGTGTGGGCAGCACATGTTGGTTCTGCTGCCCTTTTAACCAGCCCTAAATCCCATCTCAACCACCTTTCCCCTAAAGCACAGCAACTGTGCTCTCTGCAGGATTTCACTGCACATCAAGATGGAGACAATGATTCTCTGGGCTCTTTGAGGAGTCAGGAGCTGGGGTTTGTGTGGCTGCAGACACGGTACCTTGTTGTCCAGGTCGAAGAGGTAGGAGTCCTCCTCACGGACATCGGCCTCGGAGTCGGAGATCAGCTCCCCAACGTACCTGTGGGCACAGGGACAGGCAGGAATGAGACCACAGCCTCAAATCCCTCCTTTTGGGAGGAGAAACACCCCAAAATGCAGCCCAGACACAGATGGGCAACCACAGCCACAGTGCTGGCCAGCTCCAAGCCACCAAACTGAACTCTGTTAACTTCCAGCACTGAAAATCTGGCTCCAAACTCCACCTCTTCAGAGCAACACTTAAATAATATTAAAAATTACATTAATGATATTCAAACCACTTTAATATTAAAAATAAATCTATTTTTTCCTGAGAACTAAGTTTCCTTTTGCAAATCTCTCTGTTGGCCAAGATCAACACACCAATCCAAGTCTCCTGATGTTCATCAGACTCAGGCTGTCCCACAACCTCTGCAGGGCTTGTGCTGCTCACACCCCAAAACAAAACACTTTTGTCTGCCCCTCATGTATTTCCCAGGTTATTTTGAGCAATTACACCTCAAACAACTTCAAAACTTTTGGTTTAAAAGTCTTAGGTTTGGTTTAAAAGTCTAACCTAACCTGGCAGGATCCCTGGATCCCTTCTCAATCCCTCCTGAACCAGGATAAATGTGAGCTGTGGTCCCAGGTACAGCCACCCTGCTGTAAAACCAGGGGACAGGCAGGTGACAGGCAGGTCCTCCAAGGAGAATGAAGCAGAACCTGGGCTTGCTGAGGACCACACAGCCAGAGAGGTCTGGGTTTGATGCAAAGCCCCCTTGTTGCAGGAGCCCCCACAGCACTGCTGTTCCCACCTCTGTCTCTCCATCTCCATTTTAAACAGTTTTGGACTGTCAAGGTTCAACATTTCCTGCCCTGAGTTGCTTCAGTCAAAGTAAGAGACTCAGAGAGGAGGGACTGAGGGAGGGTGTGAGGAAGAGGAGCAGCACAGCAGCTTTCAAGCTTTTCAAGTGTCCAAGGCCAGGGTTTGGAGCAATATGGGGCAGTGGAAGTGTCCCTGCCCATGGCAGAAATGGGATTTAAGGTCCCTCCCAACCACCCCAGTCTGTGTTTCTGTGATTTTGGTGTGTAAGTGTTGCCAGCCTGCAATGAAACAGTGATTATTCCAAGGAAAGGATTCACCACATGAATAAATATTCCTTGCAGCATCAACAGAACTTCCATGGCCATGCTCTCACAGCATTCCTGCAGCCCTCAGGCACATTCCAAGTGTTAAACAACTGCCTCCAATCCCCCAGGGCTCAATGCAACACTTAACTCCCAGGCTGGGGAGGAGGAGAGCCAGGAAACATGAACCTGGAGAGCATCCCTGAGCTCTGTGACCAGGATTTCTGGCTGTAGCTCCCAACTGCGAGCCTCCTGTTTGCCCTCACTGCTCCACTACTGGAAATCACCCACTCCTTGGAGGCCTGAAGCACAGAAAGGTGACCAGAGAGGGAGGGAAATTGCTGTGGGAAGGCCCAGCAGGCAGCAGCAGCTGAGAACAGCTGAATAATTCTGCTCAGAGAGGCCCCGTGCCCAGGGACAGCCAGTGCAGGTTTATAATTCCATGAAATAAAATACCACAAGCAAATTAAAAATCGTTGGTTTAATGCTCCTTTAAAGCCTATTCCTGTAACTCCTTTCTAGGGCTGTTCAAAGATATTAACAGGTCCTTGATTTTCCAGGCCCAAAGTTAGGGAAGGATGTGCAAGGGGTGCCTGTTCCTCCCAAAAACCAGCAGGAGCCCCTTCATTTAAGAACTCCTGTGGCCAAGGCAGTGCCTTTCTCCCCAGCAGATGTTCAGCACACTGATGGCAAATAACTCCATCCCAGAGCTTCCCAGGGCTGATCATCACTGCTCAAAGAGCCTGGGCTCGAGTGAGCTTGGAACAGATCATCTTGGAGGTCATTTCCAACCTCAATGATTCTGTGATCAGAGGGGACTCCATGCAAAAACCAAGAGCAATGAGCAGTCCCTAGCACAGGCTCCAGGGTTTTCCACAGGATGTGGGGGACAGGAGGCCTGGCTGGAGCTCCTCTGCCTGAAAATCAGGCTGAAACACCTGCCTTGAGGCAGCTGGCACCTTCCTAAAGCACCACTGGAACAGAAAGCAAATATTCAAACCCCATAAATGGATGCAAAAGGAACAGACCAGATCCTCTGGTTTCTGCATCCCACCAACTCCCAGCCTCTCCAACAAAAGGCAGCAGCAGCTGTGCTGTTTCCAGAAGGAGCAGCTCCAGCAGCTACCAACCCAACCCACAGCAGCAGCAGCACAGGGTGAGCAACAGCAGCTTCTGAACAGCAGCAGACTCCAAGGCCAGGGAGAAAACTGCCCATGAGCAGAGCCCTGAGGGGCTGCAGAGCCTGCAGGGTCCATGGAGCCCTGTGGGACAAGAGGTTGACCTCCCCTTGATGCCTTGGGAAAGCTGACCTAGAGCAGAGACTAGATGGAACTAAAGAATAAAGCAGGGATTCATTAAAAGCCTCCATGGATCCACCTTGGGCAGCACCAGAGCCCAGCCAGGGCTGCACCCAAGATGAACCAAAATGGTCCCAAAATGCACGGCCGGGCACGGGGTCTCTTCCTTTGATCAGTTCTGCTCCATTTGCATCTTGCAGTTCATTGTCCCATTCCAGCTTTAGCCCAGGCAGTCCCACCCTGCTTGTTTTTCTCTCTCCAGCCCTCGGTGTTTGTGCTCTTGGGCTGAGATTTGGATCATTTGTCCTTGGTGCCCAGCTGGAGCAGGAATTGTTTTGTCTCCCTGCTCTGTGCACAGAGCTCACCATGCCCTCATGTGAAGCTCAGACCCACACACTAAAGCAGCACAGAATGTGAAAAATAGAAAAGCTGAAACCTGAGGCATCACCCTCACCAAGCTGCTGCTCCCAGGGCTGTGCACAAGGGACAGGAGGCAGTTACAGAGTCACAGAATCATCAAGGTTGGGACAGACCTTCAGGACCACTGAGTCCAGCCATGAACCCACCACCAGCACCATCCCCAGCTGCCACATCCCAATGCCTTTTGAGCACTTCCAGAGGTGGTGACTCCAACACCTCCCTGGGTGACTCATTCCAATGCCTGACCACTCCTTCAGCAAAAAACCATTTCCATGGCTCTGATCTGAACCTCCCCTGGTGCGACTTGAGGCCATTTTTCCTTGTCCTGTCCCTGTTCCCTGGAGCACAGCCCAAACCCCCGGCTGTCCCCTCCTGTCAGGAGCTGTGCAGAGCCACAAGGGCCCCCTGAGCCTCCTTTGCTCCAGGCTGAGCCCCTTCCCAGCTCCCTCAGCCTCTCCTGGTGCCTGTGCAGAGCTCCAGGATAATGGTCACACCAATAAAGGTCACACCAGTACAATGATCCTTCCAAAGCAGAGCAATAACCACTGCACAGAGCAGCTGCCCACCCCGGGCTCTAATGCAGATGTTTAACACAAAATGCTGTTCCAGAGGAGCTGATCCTGGGATCTGCAGTGTCCTGGCAGCCCTGAGCACAGCCAGCCCTGGGGCTGCTTTGCAGAGGAGGAAAAGCAGGAATCAGGTCTATGGATGCTCATAGAGAATCACAGGAAGGACTCATGGAGCCAAGGGCTTGGGTTTGGTGAGTGAGAAAATGAGTGTGTGCCACAGGGGGAATGTGCATGGGCACGACATTAATTAGCTCAGCTGTTTAGTAAGCAGCTCATTTAGCTAATGAAGGTTGTACCCAGCAGTGGAACAGTGCCAGCAGCTCCTGGCAAGGCTGGGGGCAGTCAGGCTGTGGGATGTGCCCCCCATCAGCCCCAGTGCTCTGCAATGTGTGTTCATCACCCCTTCCCTGGGCTGTGCCCTCACTGCCTGCTCCTCCTGTGCAGGGTTTGCTGAAGTCTCTGCCTTTCTTCCTTGCAGCAGTTTCCTCACAGGCTCTGGTCTGTTCTGGGCACTGCACCACGACCCTGGGACCTTTGGTAGTTATGGACAGCCCTGCACAAGGACAGGCCTGAGACACTCCCACAAACAGCAGCTTTTGGCTTTATCTCTAAAAAATTATCTTAGCAGCTGGCAGTTCCTGACACAGAAGAAATACTTGGCCAATTCACTGCAGAATTATCTTTTCCTTTATTTTTTTTATTTTAAATACTGTAATAATCTTCCTCAATCCCTCACCCAATTCCAAAACACATCAATAACTAGTTCTAAAAACAACCAGCAACTATTTCCATGATGGACATGAGCCTTATTTAGAAGATCCTCAGTCACTGTAGTACTGCAATGAAGGAAATACTTTCTAAACTATTTCATAAAGTACATATACCACTTTAAAGTCTGTGGGGTCTGATGACAGGTTTTCCACTTGACATAAATCTGAACATTTCTTTGCCTAAGTACTTTATTGAGTGAGGGCCAAAACATGTGCTTAACCCCAAGTGCTTCCTTGTCTTGCTGAATCAGACTAAGCCAGAGCTGTGACACTAGAAAACCTCTGGAGAAGTCAGGATTGAAGCAGAGAAAGTTGTTCCCCACTGCCCTGGCCTGCAGTGCCCCATATCTGTGGCAAACACAGGAGTTGAGCACATCTTGCAGCACAACCCAAATGTGCTTTTCCCCTATAATTTGTGTTTCAAAAGGGGAAGAGCTGAGCACAGATCCCAGCAAGACACAGGGAAGCAGAGAAAGCTCCACACTATGAGAAGCAGGACAGACAGAGCAGGGAATGGAGTCAGGAAACCTCTGGCTGAGGGCAGGCAGCTGGGCTCAGTGCCAGCTTGATCTGCATGAAAACCTCTCCCTGAAAGGGAGCAAAGCATGTGTGCCCTGGGGAACTCTGGGGCTGCTGGGCTGATGGAAGCTGCACAACTCACCCCTGGATTTGGGAACAGCTGGGGGTTTTGGGATGGTGAAAACTGCACAACTCACTCAGGGCTGGATTTGGGAAGTGCTGGGGCTGCAGGGATGGTGAAAGTTGCACAACTCACTCAGTGCTGGATTGGGAAGTGCTGGGGTTTTAGGGATGGTGAAAGCTGCACAACTGATTCGGTGCTGGATTTGGGCAAGGCTGGGGTTTTAGGGATGATGGAAGCTGCACAACTCACTCAGTGCTGGATTTGGGCAGTGTTGGGTTGCTGGGGCGTGAAAGCTGCACAACTTACTCCTGGATTTGGGAACAGCTGGGGTTTTTGGGATGGGGAAAGCTGCACAACTCACTCAGTGCTGGATTTGGGAAGTGCTGGGGTTTTGGGGTGGTGAAAGCTGCACAAGTCACTCAGTGCTTGGGATTTGGGCAGTGCTGGGGTTTTAGGGATGGTGAAAGGTGCACAGCTCACTCAGTGCTGGGGTTTTTTGGGCTCTGCTGGGGTTTTGGGCTGCTGAAAGCTGCACAACTCACTCGCACACGAAGGTTCCCAGAGGAATGTCCTGCATCGTCCGCACTCCCCAGCCCATCTTCTGTGTCCGGTAAAGCTGCAACCGAGTCCTGGAAAAGAGGAAAGGAGGAGATGGAGCCACACTGATGGCAGCACTCCATGGAAAGGATGAATTTTCATGCAGAGATGAGCAAAAAGCCAGCACCTTCCATCAGCACACACTCCCAGAGGATTTTGATATTCACCCTCCCATTGTCACCCTGCAGGGATGCTGCACTCCCACAGCTCCCAGCTGTGGGCAGATGCTGGCATGGAAACAGCCCAGGGACAAGGGACAGGTGCCAGTCAGCCCCTTCTGCCTGCCCAGGTGCACACCAAGGGGCTGGGGAAGAGGGAACAGGGCTGGATGCTCTGTGTGATCATGATTTACAGAGGATATCAGAACCCCACCAGCAGCATTTCCTTCCCCTCCACACAGCCCTGGGGGAAGCAGGGAAGGTGGAAGGGGATTTACAGCAGTGGATTGGTGCTGAGGGGGAAGGCAGAGATCTCCCAGGGACTAAAAAACAGCTTGAGGTAAGTGCTCTGACCCCTCTGCCCTCTGCCAAAGCCAGGGCATTCAGCAATTCCATCATATCCAGCTGCCTGGCTGAAAGACAAGAAAGAAAAGCTGCAACTTGAGACTTCTTGGTGTAATAGCTGCTCTGTGGAATTTTACTGATGGGGGTTATAGGCAGAGAAACAATCCTGTAAGTCATTCTGCCTCCTGCTCAGCCAGAACCTGAGTTAAGTGCAGGATGAACAGTCTCCAGGGCTAGGAAGAGCTTGCTCTATCCCTGAGGGAACCAAAACCCACTCTCAGCAACGCTGTTATCGGAAATAAGTGAAATCTGATGCTCACCTTAACTTCCCCCTGTTGCTTTTCCCAGTGCTTCTCTTCCCCCCACGCACTCCCTCCTGCACTGTCAGCTCAAACCAGGGGATGTGAACTTCATCCTGTCTGCCCACAGCTGCACCAGGACAAACCTCAGGGGAGTGACTGCTCTCACAGAAGCAGGGTCTAACACTGGGCTTGGGGAAGCTCCCCCAGCTTTTGGCTTGTCCATCAGAGCAGAGCAGAGCTCAGATCTGGCTCTGCTCTGGAGCCGGCACTGATGGCAGCAGCGGGGCCGTGGCTCTGAGCTGAGCCTGCCAGCTGAGCTGGGCCAGGCTGCCAGCTGGATACGTGTGCTCTGCCAGGCAGAGCTAATTTGGAGCCAATCTGATAAAGGAAGCACTGCAAACAGAGCAGCAGCACCCCTGTGTCAGCTGCAGCCCCAAGGCAGGAGCCTTCCCCACTGCCTCCCCAGGGACTGTGAGCTCTGCCCAGCACCTGACCCTCCTTCCCAACAGAGCTGCTCTCCCTGGCTTGTGTTGGGCTCTCAACCCTTCCCATCTTTCAGAAAAAACACTTCAGCAAGGCAAAAAAATGCAAAAGCAACAGCTCTAGCTGTACAGCTCCTGTAGAAACACCCACGGAGGCACCGGAGCTTGGCAGGGAAAACCAGAGAGAGGTAAAGTTCTGAGGAAACACATCGAGTTCCTTCCTTGCTTATTTTTAACAGTGCAAAATGTCATTGAAACTACAAAGCTTGCAAAAAGAGTGTTGTCAGCACTACAAAAAAATTCTAAAAAGTTTTTGGGGTTTTTTTCCAGTGGGATGCCTTTGAACTTAGTGCAGTGGCAAACTCCTCCATAGCAGAGGTCCAAACCAAAACATTGACATTTTTAGCCAGGCCTCAAAATCCCAGTGGTCTAACCTGGAGCAGAGAGGCCAACAGGCATTCAGGTATCCAATTCAGGGGGAATCATGCCAAGAACTTGTAAATTTTAAGCAGCCAAGTCTGGGCATTCTGGCCTGTATTTCTAATCTAGACTGCTGGCTTACAAGATCTTCTGAATTCAGACTCTGCAGCTCAGTTGCTGTCATGTCCTTCTCAGCTCTCCCCCTGAGACACCACACTTGGGCTGTGCCTGCAAACCCACAAGCCATTTGTATGTTTTATGGTCAGCTGATGAAAGAACACTGCAGTTCCCACCTGAGGGTGCAAACATTAACTGAGATGTTAATTGAGCTCATCAACCCACTGCTGCTCCACTCCCACTGGCAGCACGCAGGATCCCACTTCCATCCCACCAGCCCCAGCTTCCCTGCTGGGTTCTGTGGGATTATGGGTGAGCTGAGAGCCACAAGGCTGATGGGTTTGGGGCTGTGTTTGCCCCTCCTGCCCACCTGAGGCCGTTCTGCACCACCCGGTTCCTGCAGGTTCTCCAGCACGAGCACGCGTGATTGCACTCGAAGATCAGGGGGGGCTCTGCCATGTTGAACTCAGGCAGGAGTCGGCCATCCTGAAGGAGAGAACCACCCCAAACTGGGTTATTTATCCCCAAAATCACAGAAATTCCCCCCAGGGTTAAAAACAGTCCAGAGAACCCCATGGTGAAGTTGTGCCCAAACCCAGCGTCAGAGCTCAGGTTCTGCTGAGACATAAACTTTAAAGAATTTAGGGATTTTAGAGGAGCTGAGGTTTTAGTTAGAGATAAGCTTTATTGGAGTTAATCAAAATAAATGGATAGACCTTGATGAAGTTAAGAGTTAGTAGTTCACTAATAACTGATTGCTTGTGAACACAATGTTTGGTTAGCTGGGTTTATAATGAAGAATATAGAAACTGATAAAGAGCTTTTAGGAACATAAGACAATTGTGGTCTCCTCTGTTCTGAAATCAATTGAAGATGGGGAATGGGAGTTCTACAAATGGGTTCATTTGTCACATTTGCATTGAAAAGGTAGAAAGGTCAGAATGAGGAAGATTTCATTTACTTCCTCATTTTGGGACCCCTCCCCATTAAATGGACCACCAACCCATTTCAAGGGACAAACTACACATGCTTAATGGCTTTTGAACTTATTACCATAGGAAGCAAGGAATGAGATGTACCAAAGTTATGAATATGCATTTATATTTTGAGTATTCAATACCTGTATAGATAAAAGGATTCTGTAATCACCTGTAAATTGCAGTGTGTGTTTGGGAGCTATCCCACAATAAACACATACTTTCTAACTCTGAAGTGTTAGAGAGTCTTTATCTGTCACAGTTGGATATCAGTACTACATCAATATCCATATTTTTTAATAAATCACCAAAGTGGTTTTTTTGCTCTACCCTGACAGCAGCACAGTCACCACTGTCACCCACAGCTGACAAACAGCCAGAGAATTTAGATTTTTGCTGCCTGCTATCACCCTACACAGCATTAAAAAAAAAACCCTCCCAGTGCTGTGCGGAAAACTGGTGTGCATCATCATCATTATTGCCATTTGCTGTGCTGGAGGGAGAAATGGATGCTTAGTCTGCCTCTGGAATAAAGCCTGAACTTGCAGAGTCCAAGGCCAGTGCACTCAAGTTCTGTGAATCACACTACATTCCCAAATAACACTCTCAAAAAATCCTACAATTCAATTATTTACCAACACACAGGATTAAGGAAGTGACGGATGTAATTTATCATATTTAACAAATTTGGCTTTTAAGGCTTGAGAGGTGTAATCACCTATTAATGTGTAAATAAAATGGCTACAAAGCCAAGAAAGATGCCAACACTGCCCCTGGGAGAAACCTGCAGAGATTCACAGAACTTCTGATCTTTGTAGCACCTGCCCAAAGATGAATCTCAAAACCTCCCTGGAGGGTTGAAGCATTTACCCAAAACAAACCTGACTTCTGGCAATGTGGCAGTGAAAACATCTTAACTCTGCCTTCATCCAGGAGAATCACAATAAATAAAAGCAGATTTTAAAAAATTCTCTTTCTACTCCCCTCCCTTTGTTTACATCTTACAGCACTTTCCACGTTGCTCTGAAATGGAAGCTGATTTCACACTTGGATTGTTAAATGCTCCCTATCACAAGGGTGTAATTAATGGCTCAGTTGGCACGAGAGGAACACAATAAATAACACAAGGAAAGCTGCCCTGAGCAGGCAGTTTGGATTATCACATGTCTGAGAGCTGAGACTATAACTTGAGGCATTTTAAGTTAAGAAGAAAGGAGTTGGAATTTCAGAAGCAGGGAATGGTTTGGGGTGGAAGGGACCTCAAAGCTCAGCTCATCCCAACCCCTTCCATGGGCATGGGCATCTCCCACTAGAACAGGGGTGCTCCAAGCCCTGTCCAACCCGGCTTTGAGCTGTGCAAGGAACTGAATCAGGCAGAATTCATCTCCTAGGCCCCGGAGTGAGCCAGAGGGGGCTGTGTGTGCTCACCTTGTCGTACCAGCAGCGCATGCTGAGCTGGCCACACATGCAGTTACTGGAGGAGCAGTCGTCTATACAGACACAATACTGCAAGAGAAGCAAAGGGTTAATTCCACACCACTCACACCACTGAGGCTGCACCTGGAGGCTGGGTCAGGAAACCACATCTCCTCCTCTTGCTGCAGCTCCTCACCAGAGGGATCACCAGCTTCACCATTCAGGGGCAGTTCTACTCCTCTGTTTATTTCTGTGTGCAATGAGCACCAAATCCTGCCTGGCAAGGAAGGATCTCATTCTGAGCCAGCCTCACTGCTCAGGAGAGGATGTTCCCCTGCTGTAACCCTCCCCCATGCCCTGTGAGCTGTTCTCCACACCTGAGGACAAGGAAAGCTCCAAGGAGGGACCAGAGCTGGCAGATGATGCAGCTGTGCTGCCTCAGTCCTCCCCTGCTGCTTCCCCAGGCCACCACAACAGGGACTGGCCCTGGCAATGTCACTTCAGCCACCTCAGAGCTGTGCCCAGTGAGGTCTCACCCTCACCCTGAACCTCCCCATCTCTGCTTTCCCACCCAGCCCTTCCAGGGCTGCAGCATCACAGCCAAGACCTCAGCCTGGCTGCTGCAGTCCATGGGAAGGCAGCATGGAGAAGGTCTCCCAACAAATCCCTGACTCTGCAGCCTCAGAAGAGAGGACAAGGATGAATGGGAGCCACATCAGCCAGCACCAGATGGCCAATGCTACAGCTGAACACAGAGCTCAGCTTAAACCTCAAAACTGAAGAAAATCAAAATCCCATCTCCTACAACAAAATCCCATCTCCTACAACAAAATCCCATCTCCTACAGCTCCAATGCTACAGCTGAACACAGAGCTCAGCTTTAGCCTCAAAACTGAAGAAAATCAAAATCCCATCTCCTACAACAAAATCCCATCTCCTACAGCTCCAATGCTACAGCTGAACACAGAGCTCAGCTTTAGCCTCAAAACTGAAGAAAATCAAAATCCCATCTCCTACAACAAGAGCTGCAGGTGAGGCACTCAACCTTAGCTGGAATTTGATGGCAATATCAGGACAACATTCCCATGTGGAATGCCAGATCTGTTCTGAGGAGCACTGCAGAGCCCAGGACAGGAACACAGCAGGATCCCTCACCTGTAAATGAGTGATGTTCCTGTCAATGTCCATCGGGGAGGTGACACAGTTCTGTGACACGTATTTGTAGTTGCTGGGGCAGGGCTCACTGTCTACAGAGTTGACACAGGGGATGGGGATCCGCTCGTAGCCCCGGGCAATGTCTCTGTCATGGAGAAAGAACTGTCACAGAGGAAAGTCCCCCAGACAAGGGGCCATTCAATGCCATCCTGGGGCAGTCACTGAGCACTCAAAGCCATTCAGACTAGAGCAGAGCTCATGTTTTCCCACCCTGCCTTACAGATGGTTCTTTGTGCTTGTGAGTATTTCCATTTGGAGGATGAATTTGCAAACCATGGACTGAATCAGCATGGGCTCACACTGACCTTCACACCAGCTTAAGAAGGTACACAATTCTTTCTTAAACCAGGCCCCCAGCCTTCCCTGTGCAAGGGCTCAATTTCATGACCCACAAGCAAAGCCAGCCCTATTCTCACCTGCTCACCACCTTCTCTATCTGGGCAGGCTTCTCAGAAGATGATTCTTTGAGAGTCTTGTTCATCTGTAGGGCCACCCAGACCTGAGAGTTAAGGCTGGAGCACTGGAGCGGGGTCTCACCCTCCTTGTTCTTTAAAGTGACATCCGAGCCACGGGAAAGAAAGAGACTGCAAAACAGCAAGGAAGGATAAGGATTCCCCAGGAGAAACCAGGCAAGGGGAAAACAAGCTGAATCACATCCTCCAGCCAGCCCTTAAGGGACTGTAGTAGTGAATAATCACCTGAGTTTTCTTTATTAAGCATGGTTCAGTGAATCCTTCTGACAGAAGCTCTGGGCACCCATGAGAGCTCTGGGCAAACCATGCCTTGCTTCAGGTACCTTGCTGGTACCAGCCTAACTTCAGACAGGCTTGAAACTCTCTCTGGCAGGGAAAGATATGGGGTGGGAAGAGTAGGCTGGAAATGGAAGAGCCCCACAGGAAACTGGTGGTGGACTTGGCCCTCATTTATACTCACCAGCTTTTGGTGAGAACATGATGGCTTTATTCAGAGCAGGGATGAAGCAAAGGAACAAAGGTAGCAGGGCACCTTTTTACCATGCTAGTGGTGGGGAAAAAAAAGCTTTCATCAAGGAAGCCTGACACCTTCCTGCTGGGAAGCCCAGGCTGAGCACAGCCCCTCAGACTCAAACACGCCACATTCTCTGAGCAGCTCTGGCAGCAGCTGGTAGCTCATACACCCCACCCCAGGAGAAAAACAAGCCCTCCATGGCAATCCTGGCTGTGTGTAAAGACCAAAGGCATCTCAGAGGCTCTCCTGAGGCTGGCAGGCAGCAGCAGAGGGGCAGGGAGGGGTGGGCACTGCACTTACACCACACACTCGTAGCAGTTCAGGGGGCAGGGAGGGGTGAGCAGGGCACTTACACCACACACCCATAGTGGTTCAGGGAGCAGGGAGGAGTGAGCACTGCACTTACACCACACACCCATAGTGGTTCAGGGAGCAGGGAGGAGTGAGCACTGCACTCACACCACACACTCACAGCAGTTCAGGGGGCAGGGAAGGGTGAGCACTGCACTCACACCACACACTCACAGGGGCTCAGGGCACAGGGAGGGGTGGGCACTGCACTTACACCACACACTCATAGCAGTTCAGGGGGCAGGGAGGGCTGGGAATGCACTTACATCACACACTCACAGGGGCTCAGGGGGCAGGGAGGGCTGGCAGGGCACTCACACCACACACTCACAGTAGTTCAGGGCACAGGGAAGGGTGAGCACTGCACTCATATCACACACTCGTAGCAGTTCAGGGCACAGGGAGGGGTGGGCACTGCACTTACACCACACACTCGTAGCGGTTCTCTCGCGCCGCGATGTGCAGGGGCGAGTCCCCGTGGATGTTCACGGCGTGCAGGTCACACTTTGCTGCCAGCAGGATCTCAGCTATGTCAACACAGCCAGAAAAAGCAGCCCAGTGCAAACAAATGTTTTCCTCCTGGAGGGGAAGAGAACAGAGAGGAGGTTGTTTAAAACCCCGTGGATGTGGGGGTTCCTTCCTCAGCTCTGCACCTGCAGCGTTCAGCGTGTGGCTGCCATCCCCACCCTGCTCTGGCTGAATGGGGATGCCAGGGTGGACAGGGAAACCTCAGAGCAGCCAAACAGGGAGCTCTCACTCCATCCACCTCTGCACACCATGGATGGGGAGGCTGCACACAAGGCAATCCATCACCTTCCCTACACACACACAGACAGCTCGTCAGTCTCCAAGCCACAAACCAATCTAGATCAATCCAGGAAAGAGGTGACAGACATGAACAAACATGCTGGAAAAAGCTGGATGCTGAGTTTGCCCAGCCCCAACAGCCAGCAAAGCTACTGTGCCTCCCAGGGCTGCAAAATTAAGGAGAAAAAGAGCACAGCATGAAATTAAGGAGAAAAAGAGCATAGGGTATGTGAAGGTGCCAAAAAGAGAACCAGGAGCCATGGGGTAAGCAATCAATCTGACTCCAGGCATCTCTTAAATACTGTATGTACTCATCTCTCACTAGCAGCACTGGAAATAGCTGAACACTCATCTTTCTGATGGAGATATTTTAAGGGATGATCCTGTTTTCTGTTACACTGCAATTTGCAGCACACGTCGATCCCTTCCCCATGACAGCCTCTAAAGACATTGATGACAACAGTGAAATGATAGTAATGATCACCCAGCTATTCCCCTTTTTTTCCTTCTCTTTAAAGCAAAAACAAAGCTGCTGCTGGAGTGTTTGAGCTGTTATCATGTAACTAAAGGTCCTGCCTTAAATAGGGAGCTATTGCCAGACATCAGGGAGAGGGAGACACTTTCCTACCCAGCTCCTGCTTCCCTTTACAGTGTCATCTAGAAAAACCCATACAATCTGCAGAAAACACACATCTTGAGGGTTGCACCCACATTCTGAAGCTCAGAGAGGTCACAGACCCCAGGACTGGTGCTCTGCCTTGCACTGCTCCTGCCTAAAAAGCAGCATCATCACAAGCAAAGCATTTCCCCCAAAGCAAGAGGTTTCCCAGTGACATTTGTCCTGAAGCACATCCAGCAGGACACCCCAGCTGCAGGTCCAGGAGAGATGTGTCACACACACAGCTGTTAAGAGCACGGTTTTCTTTCAAGGAAATTGTTGACTGAGTTGATTTGATGTTCATCATTAATGTGTGATATTGAAGCTGTGACAGATCAAAGAGTCTGTTTTGTTCAGAGTCAGCAAACAGATGTAACAGCCCAAAAAGCTCCCTCTCACCTTGATTTTTGTTTTTAGGAACAGGACTGGATCCAGACCTGCCTGGGAACTGGGAACTATCCAAGTGTGCTGTGTTTGGCTGGGATAGGGTTAATGTTTCTGGTGTGGGGCTGTGCTGAACGCAGGGCTGGGGACACAGAGATGTCACCTGCTGAGCAGGGCTGACACAGAGCCTGCTCTGTCCTGTGCTGCCTCACTGGGGGACAAGGAAAGCTGGGAGGACACAGCAGGACAGGTGACCCTGACCAAAGGAACATTCCAGACTATCTGACATCAGTTCAGGATATAAGGTGGGGAAAGGAGGAGAAAACGGGATGTTTGGAGTGATGGTTTTTGTCTTCCCAGGTCAGTATTCCATGGATGGGGCTCTCCTGCAGGTGCTGAACACCTGCCCAGCCATGGGAAGCAGGGAAAGAATTCCCTGTTCTGTTCTGCTTGTGTGTGTGCCTTTGGCTTTTCCATTAAACTGTATCTCAACCCACAAGTCTTTTTCTACCTTTTTCCCTCCTGATTCTCTCCCCACTGGTTGGGGAGTGAGCAAGGGGCTGTGAGGGGCTTGGTGCCTGGCTGGGGTTAAACTACACAAACACAGAAACACAGAGGAGTTTGGTTTGGTTTGGTTTGGTTTGGTTTGGTTTGGAAGAGACCTCAAAGCTCATCCAGTGCCACCCCCTGCCATGGACAGAGACAGCTCCCACTGTTCCCAGGTGGCTCCAAACCTTTCCAACCTGGCCCTGGACACTTCCAGGGATGGGGTGAGACACCACACTTCAACATCCTTAGAGACTCCAGGAAAAGAATGAGAAACATAGTATAAGGGAAATAGTGCTGCTACAATGACTGCCCTGAAGAAGGCTGGGAAAAGCAGACAGTATCTCTGACAGTATCTCTGACAGAATCTCTTTGCATCTTCTCTATTTCCCTGGAAATCCCTGGGAAAGCAGCTGGCACAGCCCCACAGGCAGAGCTGGGGGTCCCACGCAGTTCCCAGGGGCTCAAGCACTGAGTGCATCCCACTGGAGCAGCATTTAGGGAGGTGAGGGGCAGCTCCAGCTCTGGACACATCAGAGCTTTGTGCCAGGGATGCCCAGGCATAGCCAGGCTTTGACAGCTGCTGGCAGAGTGCCCAACCCATCCAGAAACACAAAGAGGAGCTCATTCCCCTCAGAAGGCACACAGGGTGCCCTAAACCATACCCAGAGTCCCTGGACAAACACAGAGCTGGTAAGTCTGGACTGAAGGGGCTCTGCCTGGTGTCTGGTGCAGTGGCAGCACAGAGGGATGGGAAGCAGGGAGGCTCAGAGCTGAGGATTCCACACAGCATCCTGACAGAGCAGCTGCAGGGACAGCACAGCCCAGAAACTGCCAAACTTCTGCCCAGAACTCAGGAAAACTCTCACCAGACACTTCTCACTCACACTGGGTGGGACTGAGCCCTAAATCTGTCCCCTGGGGGGAGCCTGGGGTAAAGCAGAGGCTGCAATCTCTGCAGGAGGTGCCAGGGGAGCCTTACATTGTCACGGATGTTGATGTCCGAGCCCTTGGCCAGCAGCAGCTTCACCAGCTCGATGTGCTTGTACTCCGTGGCCCAGATCATCGGGGTCCAGCCACCATCGTCCTGGGAGGGGACAGCAGGGTGACACACAGCCCTGACACAGCCCCGCCCTCCCCCTGCCCTGCTGCAGGTCCCTCAGAGCCCACCATGGCTGGGAGCAGCACTGCTGGGGTTTGCTCCAGCTCAGCAGGCTGGCCCTGCACCTCCAGCTGGTTCAGGTACACAAATTGTCCAAAAAGGCACAAGGAGCACCCAGGGTGTGTAAAAGATCTTACAGAAACTCCCTGAGAAGCCTGGGAGACCTGTCCTTGCCCCAGGTTAATTACCTCTGTCCCTACCCCCACCTAATTACCCCTGTGTCACCCCACAGCAATGGATAAACCCCAAGGGCAATGACAAAGCCCACAGTGACCAGTGCCAGGCTCAGCCCATCCCACACCACTGTCCATGATCCCCCCATTAGGAAAAGCTCAGGGACACCCTGGAGCAGCAGGATCCACAGCAAATTCAAGGAGAAGCTGCAAATCAAGGGGAGCTCCCTGAGGTCAGTGAGGGATCAGGAAGGGCACAGAATTGTCACCCTGTGGTGTCTGGAGGTGTCCCCCAGCAGCAGGACTGTACCTGAGTGAGCACTCAAGTGCTGAGGGAGCCCCTGAGCTGGGCCAAAGCAGCTCCTGCCCTGGGGAAGCCTCACCTGGCAGTTGACATCCATGTTCCCATTGGAGAGCAGGTACTGCACCACGTCGTAGTGCCCCTTCTTGGCTGCCAGGTGCAGACACGTGGAGCCCTCAGCATCCTGCACACAAGCACAGAACACAGCCTCAGCCATGCTCAGGACAGCACAGGAGCTCCCAGCTGGAGCAGGGAACTCCAAAAGTCTCCACCCCACTGCCAGGAGGGCAGAGAGGAGGAAGCAGAGCTCTAAGCAGAGCTTGGGAGCTTTACACCAAAGAGGTGCCACCCTGCAGAGAAGGAAAAGGCTTTGCAAAGCCTGGGGAAAGCACAAACCCCAAACCCTGGCAGTGATACCCCCCTTCTCCAACAGCCCCTTTCCCACTCCCCTCCATTTGCTGGAGAGCCAAAGTGAAGCAAAAATCCCTTACACAGGCAAAGTTTGCACTTTACATCAGAAAAATCACTCTGTCTCAAGTTGAAATGCTCCATTCCTCCAGGGTTTTTGCTGGGTTTTGTTAGCCCAAGGCCTCATCCCAGCACCTGGCAGCAGGTCCAGGGCTGGGGTGTCTCTCTCCAGTGAGACCAGGTCCCCATCCAGCCCACAGCCATCTGCACAGACTGGAGATAAAAAACAACCCCAAAGGCTGAAAGGAAAAAAGCCTTTGGGAGCTGGGGATGCAAGGCCTGGAGGAGATGGACAGGCTGTGAGTCATGGTGGAGATGCTCCCACCAAAGATCTCTCTGGCAGCAGCCTGACTTTTATCAGGCATTTATATCCCAAGAGCTTAGCACAGAGCAAGGCCCAGAGAGCAGGAAATCAGGAGGAGGAAATGAAAGACTGAAAAAAACCCAAAGGATTCCTTCCAGCTAAATCCCTGGGAGCAACGCTGGAGGTGAGAGCTTTGGGATGGAGCTGATGTGATGCAGGCTGAGGGAGGGGACATCTCAGGTCAGGGATTGCACCAGGAGGGCTCCTTGGGACACTGAAAGAGTTTTTACACCCCCACATGTGCCTGCTCCAGCTGAATAATTCCACAGCTTTCCCCTTGGATGGGCAAGAAGCAAGTGCAGCTCCCCAGCCCTGGGAGAGCAGGCAGATTTTATTGTAAAGGTTTTATTCAGGTTTTGAGTGGGGCTTTTCCATGCTGGGAACAGCACCAAGAGCTTCCTCCTGGGAGCTGGGGAGCCCCCACCCAGCTCCATGCAGTCCCACCTGCCCCAGGTAAGGGCTGGAGCTGCTTCCACAGCAATGCTGCTGCTTCAAACAGAGCCTGAGCTAATTAAGAAACTAATTAACATCATCAACTAGCCTAGACCTTAGATGTGATCTGAGGCTTCTCATTTGCTTTTGCAAGCTCAGGATTTATCTCCTTCCCTTGACCTTCAGAAACACAAACTCCCCTTTTTTCTCTTCCACAGGAATAAATCAGGTGAGAGATGTCTGGGCTGCTCCAAGGCACTTGGGACAGTGGCCAGCACAAAGCCACAGGTGTCTGTCCAGTCCTTTCCCCCTCCCAAGGATCCATTTAGGGCCTGGATTGGGCAGCACCTGATACCTTGCGCAGTGCTGCCTTCCCAAACCCAGCCAAGAGCAGCAGGTTGTGGCAATAAGTTTGCATGGGGAGGGTTCCTGTGCTCCAAACAGCATCTGATTTATGGGACTAATAAATGGTCTGTGTATTTTCCAAGATTGCAAAGCATCCAGAGCATGCTAAAGGCAAAGAGACAGCTGCATTTTATTGTTTTGGTTTAAATTAAGGGGTAGAGTTTAAAGATGGGGTTCAATTTTGCCACTGCAGCATGAGTGCAAGAATCCACACATCAGTTCTTTGGAAGGGAAAGCTTCCTCTGTCATTTTTCCTGGCTTGGCAAGCACCTAATTACCAGCCTATTTTAAAACATCACCCTAAAACTCTCATTATTAGAGCCTACAGAGAAGGAAACTCTGAAATCCAGCTTCACTGGAGTGGATTTGTAACACTAAAACCTAAGAAATCAAACTCCCTGACATTTGGTGCCACAAACTAAAGGGACAAGTGGCAACACTTGCCCCAAACAGCTCATGGCCAGCAGAAAAATGAGATTATGACACCCCCAGCCTCCATTCCAAGACAAACCAGTCCATTTCTCCTCAGCCTGAGCACTTCCACCCAAAACTTCAAGGAAGAAATGCTGGACAGAGGCTTCCTCAGGAGAAAAAGGGAAGGAACAAACTCCTACCTTGGGATCTACTAGTGCTCCAGCCTTGATCAGGTATTTCACAGTTTCCAGGTGGTTGTTTTCTGCTGCTTCCATCAGGGGGGTCCTCTGGTCCTCAGAGCAGGTGTCAATGTTGGCACCAGCCTGTTGGGAGGCAGGGCAAGGACAAGCACAGTTAGCAGGGGAAGGATGTGGGAGTAGAGATTTAATAACAAGATTTTCTCCTGAAATTTAGCCATATTAAACAGGGGAAAAAAAAGAATAAAAAAATAAGAAACAGAATGAGGAAAGAAGGCAGTGCAAGTCCACCTGCTCTGCAAACAGCACACACTGCCTGCCCCCTCTCCTGCCTTCCCAGCCAGGAAGGAGCTGTAAGAAAGCCAACAGCTGGTGTTAAATAACTCCTGTTATTACCAGATTTTGTACTCCTACTTTCTAGATATTGTTTGTGTAACAATTTGGAAAAGCCAGCCTCCTCTTTCTTCCAGCAGCTTTGTTTTCCCTGGTCTATGATTTAGCCTCCAACAACCAGCTCCTCTCAATGTCACAAGCAGTAGGAACAACTTGCTGGTGGCAACAGAGGCAGGAGCTGTAAAGAATATCCTGGGGATTGGCTCAATATTCCTGTGGAAGTCAATGGCAGTTCCACAGAGGTCTCTGAGCATCTGTTCATCTCAGCCCAGAGTGCCTCCAACAACACCTCACTGCTTCCAAACCATGGCTCTGTCAGGTTATCCTGCCTGCTTCAGGCCTTGGCTGAGCTCAGGAACCACCCAAAACTCAAACCCAAAAGGTCTCAGACACACCACAGCTCTTGGCAGGGGGGTGTGTGAGGCTCAGACCTGTTCACAGCAGCTGACTCAGGTTCACCTGGCACAAGGAGCTGTTTTCAGGTGCCTCCCACTGAATTCCTTTGTTTTGACTCTTTTCCCCAGCCAGAGCTATTTAAACCAGGGCAGAGGAGAAGCACTTCAAGTGGAACAAGCTGGGGCCATCCCCAGCCAAACCCTGGGCTGCTGCAGGAGCCAGACCTCAGGGAGAGACAAGATGAAGCACTCTGGAAACAAACCAACCCTACTGATAATTAAATTGTTTGTGATATCTCACAAGTTTTGCTCCTTTTCCTCATTCCACTGTCATCACATGCAGTAATTTCAGTCAGAGCAGCAAGAGAGGTCCAATGCTGGTTTCAAACAGTACCTGAAAGCCTCCAATTCCAGGTGCTGAAATGCAGCAGCCCAGCAGGATCATTTCCAAGTCATTCCTGCCTTCTCAACAGCCCTTTGAGGTTTCCCAATCCCACAGCATAAACAAAAGACACTTCCAGTCACTCCAGACCAGGTACACCAGCACAAAAAAGAAAAACTATAAATTTTTAATCCTTCTTTTTCTTCTTCACATTGTTTTGGAGCAGGCTCAACAACATCCCTACAGCTTTAACCATCTTCCCTCAGTTGGAATCCAAATCTCAGCCAACAATCCAAACTTCCATCCTCCCTTCACTCCTTTCCACATGTGAGACATTTGTGCTGCAGAGGAAAATCCTGCTGGAGCTCCTCAGGTTCTGACAGAAGGGAAGGCAGGGCCTGGCAGCTCCCATCACCAAGAGCAACCTGGCTTGGAGACCAAAACCAAGAGTTTGGAGAACTCCTGCAGCCTGGCAGCACATCTGGCAGTGCTGGCACATCTGGCAGTGCCCTGGCTGTGCTTAGGCACAGATCCCCACCTGCTCTGCACCAAATCTTCCCCTGCTCCTTGCCTGGAGAACAGGACAATTCCAGCAGGACAATTCCAGCTGTGCCCTCCCATTACTCTGCCCCACTCCTCCCTCAGCAAACCTTGGGATTGAGGAGGTTTTTACAGGAGGGATTTTCCCCTGCTGATTTCCATGTGGGGCAGACCAAAGCCCTCAGAAATGGTTTGTGCAGAGGGCTGGAAATGCAGACAGACCTGAATGAGCATGTGGCAGATGTCCACGTGGCCAGACTCGGCAGCAGCATGGAGAGGGGTTCTCTTACTCTGATGCTCCATTTTAAAATTAGGGTCAATCCCATCCACTGCAAAACAGAGCAGAGACACTTTCAAGCACAGTTCAGGGGAATCATGTCTCAGCTGAAGGCTGCTAAAGGATGGATTCCCAGCCCATCCTCAGCCCTGCTCACGTCTCACTGCACATTTCACCAGAAAGCTCTCAGGGCAGTCCCCTGCACATTCAATATGCAAACAGCCCTCACACCCAGAGCTTGCAAACACCATGGAATTCAATACCTTTTTAAGGCATTACTATCTCTCCAAAGGCCTCGTCCTTCAGCCTCACAACTCATCTCAAAAACAACAAACACCACACAAGGATAAAAAAAGAAAAGAAACACTGCTTGGTTTAAAGCAACCCAGAAATTGGGAACAACAAAGAGTTGGGCTCTGTCTCACCACTATTAATTGAAATTAATATTAGTAATCCTTTTTGCACCCCTGCAAATACAGAGCTGCAACATGGATGGAATTTGTCCACACAGGCTCAGGATCTGGCCAGAGATTCTCACAGCTGTGCAGAGACTGACAGATGATGCTGACAGCCAGACAAAGATGTCTGGGCATGATAACATGTTGTGTATGATGAGGCTGTAGTTAAATATCAATGAATAACATTTCTGTGCTATTGAAAACAGGAACAATGGAGCAAACACTTGCTAGACAAAAAAAAAAAAAGAAGGAACTGATAAAGGGCAAGAACAGAAAGCATCCAAAAGTGTACAAAGTACTGGAGTGGAAAGGAAGCATCCTTGTGAAACATCGTGTCCCTCAGAGGGGGAAATTCCTGGAGGATATTGGATGCTAAAAACAAGCTCAGCAGCTCAAAGGCATCTGGTGCTAGGCACCTCTGTACCCCAAAACAAACCCTGTGGATTGAAGGCTCTTCCTTTTTTGCTTTATTGCTGATGGATCTTGGTTTAAACTGACTCCATCTTGGTTTGGTTTAAACTGACTCCATCCATTCCCTCTCTACTGGGATCAAATATGTGCCCCAGGCATGGAGAGGGGTGGGAAAAGCCACATGGAGGTGACTGTGGGGACACAAGCAGCATGGATAAACCATGCTCAAAGCAGACACAGGTGGGGATCAGAGCCCATTTCCCAGAGAGATGCAGCCACAAGGGGATCAGTGCCCATGCAGACACAAGTGGGGATCAGAGCCCGTTTCCCAGAGAGATGCAGCCCTCCCAATGACACATCACCCACAGCAGTCTCTGCTCCCAGGGCCCTGGGGAGATGACGTGGTGCCCTGCTGGGAAGTGGCTGCTGGCACTGCCTGGCAGGAGCTGGGAGTGCTGCCAGCCAGGCCCTGGCCTGGGCAGGAGGCACCTACCCAGCATCAGCAGCACCTTCTGCAGCTCCCCTTGCCTGGCAGAGAAGTAGAGCTGTTTCGGGTGGAACCGCAGCTTCTTGGGCCTGCAGGAGGGGAGAGAGGAGGAATTAGTGCCCAGGGAAGGACAGGAATGTCACCCTCACTCACTGCCAGCCCTCACTCAGCCTGACAAAGTTCTGGGCTCATCCCCCAGCGTGGGCAGCAGGGCAGGGGGAGCTCTGCCCCTGTGCTCAGGTGAGACCCCACCTGCAGAGCTGCCTCCAAATCTGGGATCCCCAACATGAGGAGGACCTGGAGCTCTGGAGTGAAACCAGAGGAGGTCCCTGAGATGCTCCAAGGGCTGGAGCCCCTCTGCTCTGGAGCCAGGTTGGGAGAGCTGAGGGTGCTCCAGGGAGAGCTCAGAGCCCCTGCCAGGGCCTGAAGGGGCTCCAGGAGAGCTGGAGAGGGACTGGGGACAAGGGATGGAGGGACAGGACACAGGGAATGGCTTCAAACTGAAAGACAGGAAATTTAGGATTAAATATATGAAATAAATCCTTCCCTGTGAGGGTGGGCAGGCCCTGGCACAGGGTGCCCAGAGCAGCTGTGGCTGCCCCTGGATCCCTGGCAGTGCCCAAGGCCAGGCTGGGCAGGGCTGGGAGCAGCGTGGGACAGAGGGAGGTGTCCCTGCCATGGCAGGGGTGGCACTGGATGAGCTTTAAGGTCAGTTCCAACCCAAACCATTCCATGATCCTCTGATACAGAAAAACAAGTCTCCAAAAGGAGGTTTTAAAAAGTTGGTAAAACTTCCAGCTCCAGCCCCAGGCAGTCCTGTTCCAATGAGTGCTGGATCTGTTCAGCAACAGATTCTGGGTCTCACTACTGTGAACAGGAGCTCCCAGAAGTTCCAGCTGCAGCTGAAGAGCCAGTGAAGAACTAAATCCTCCAGAGAAATCAATAAGACATTTAGAGCTGTTAACAGTTCTACCAAATCTGTTGGGGATGACTAATGAGTGAAGTGAACAAAAAAAGCTCTGAGCTGGACCAAAATCCAGAAAAGCTAAATCTCCTTTTCTCTAGGCTAAACAACTTTGCTGGGAACTGGAGTGACCCAATGGTCTTTTTCTTACTTTTCAGAGTCCAGGGCAATCAGGGCACTTTCCAGAGTTTCTTTCACTGGTCCCTGGGTCAAGCTAGTAGTAGGCTTTGGAAAAACTGAAGACCCAGGGATGTCAAACCCTTCAGCAGCAGAACTTTCTGGCTTGTCTTCCTCTGACAACCTCGTCCCAGTGCCACTGAGGAGGAAAAATGAGAGACAGCCAAAGCACAACCATTAAAAATACACAACAATGTTTCTCTTATGCCAAAAAAGCAAAGCAAATGCATTTTAAATACAGATAAGTGTAACTGAAATTGAAACCCAAACCAATAAATTTTACAGCTTTTTCAGTAAGAAAGGAATTACACTGCCCTCTGACTACATCTTGATGTACTCTGTGCTACAGGAGACCCAGGCACATGGGGCAAGTCTTAAAGCCACCTAAACAAGGCCAGATGGGATGGGAAGTCAGAGCAGAGTTCCACACAGGGCTGGTTTAATTTATATTTTCCTCCTCTCATGGGTGCGAGTCAGGAGCTGCAGATGGGGAACGGCTGTCACTGAGCAAACCTGACAACATCAACCAATTCCACTGTTATTCCATTCCTAACAATAAGAGGAAGGAATGGTTTAACTCCTGAATGGTTTAACTCAGAGCAGAGTTCCACACAGGGCTGGTTTAATTTGTGTTTTCCTCCTCTCATGGGTGCGAGTCGGGAGCTGCAGATGGGAATGGCTGTCACTGAGCAAACCTGACAACATCAACCAATTCCACTGTTATTCCATTCCTAACAAAAGAGGAAGGAATGGTTTAACTCCTGAACCCCCCAACCTCCAAAGCCTCTGCCTCACACCCAAAACCCCCCAGCAGATTCCTGCAGCTGAGCCACCCCCAGCCCATCAGGAGGCGCCCAACCACTCCCACCAAAGCCTGGCCTGGCAGGAGCTTTGAGATCCCCCAGGCCCCCGTGCTCACCTCCCCGTGGTGGTGTCGGCCCTGCCCTCCACAGCTGCAGGTTTCTGCTGCTCGTAGCTCAGGGACACCGTGGAGGTGGTGTCAGCCTTGGCTATTGTCACCTCCTTGGCCTTGGAGGCCTCCTCCCCGCAGTGAGGGCAGTAGCTGGTGTCGTTCACCTGCGAGGCACAGCTCTTGTGGAAGCGGTGGGAGATGCTGCTCTCGGGCTGACACTCCATGAAAGTGCCCTTAAAAAACCACAGAGAAGGGAATTCAGCCCCTGCCGGGCCCGTGGCTCGCCCCTGCACACGCTCCATGCCACTCCTCACCACCTCTCTCGGCCCTGCTGCGTCCAGTACAGTAAAGCAAGCACTGCCACTTCTTTAGAAGAGAACAAAACCAAGGTAAAGGGGGAAAAACTCACTTGGTTAAAGACTGCAAAGCAAGATTTGGAATTGTGTTTGGGAAACAGAACAAAGAAGTCCCAATTTCCGGCTCTTCCCTCTAAGGCTTGAAGTTCTCCCTTGTGCCTCTAGAAGTGCCAGTGCACTGTAAGGACGCCCCCAAAACTGGAAGAGAAACCTTCAGACCTGTGCTGAGCCAGCACTAAAACTACCTGAAACACAGATGTACACAAACCATGCAAGAACCTGCATCAATCTGTCACTGACCCCACTGGAACCCAAATGATGTCACTCTTCTGCCTGGACCAGCCTAATTAACCCAAACAAGCTCACTGCTCATGCAACAAACTGGGCAATTCCTCCTAAAATTATTTTCCCTTTCTAGCAAAGTCCCTGTGACTGCTGTGCAGGAGCCCAGAGCTCCCTGCCTGTGGTGCCAGTGCTGCCTGAAGCCCTGCTGTGCTCTGGGTTGTGATGGTGGCACAGACAAACACTCCAGGTTCGCCTCTGTGCACCAGCACACAGCACTGAGAGATGGAAGAGAGTGCAAGGAAAGGCCAGCCAAACCCCCTCTTCTCCTGAATCCAGTCCTCCCAAGCAATCTAATTAACTCTATTTCAGCTTTGCAAATGCCTTGAAGGGTTTTGAGGGTTTTATCTCCTAAATGATCTTTGACTCAGCAAGAAAACCCAGGATGGCTCCACTTACTACAATAATGCTTGAGACAACTGCAGCATCTTTCCTTGAGCCATCTTGAAGAATACCAGCATCACACAATTAAGCCTCATCATCACTCCATGAGGCCTCAGTTGGTGCCTTTCAGCTTTATCCACAGGCAAAGCAGGACACTGGCCACCAAAGGACTGCAGCAAGTCCCTTAAAAGCCTCGGTGGCACAGGTGGAAGAAGCAGGAGGAGATCACAGCGTGGTTTGAGTTGGAAGGAACCTTGAATCTCATGTGGTTCCACCCCCCTGCCATGGGCAGGGACATCTTCCACTGTCCCAGGCTGCTCCAAGCCCCAATGTCCAACCTGGCCTTGGGCACTGCCAGGGATCCAGGGGCAGCCACAGCTGCTCTGGGCACCCTGTGCCACCCTCACAGGGGAGAATTCCTTCCCAATATTTAATCTTCCTAATATCTAACCTAATTGAGATCTCCAACACTGCCTTGGTCCAGTGCCACCACTCAGGATCCCCATCCTGAGGGCACACAGAGGTGGGGGCACAGCTTCATTTACAAACCAAGCTAAGACTTTTTTTGGATGTGATTGATCTGTACACAAAGAAAAACAACCAACCCTTGTTCCAAAGAAATTCCAAAGGCAAGACTTCCAGCATGTGAAATCCCTTTGGTAACACCCCTCGGGGGTCTCCAGGAAGATCAAGGTGACGATTTCAGCTGCCCTCACACACATTCCTATTGAAAACACCTCCTGACGTGCTGTGGAACGAGGTGGGGCTGATGCCAGGAATTCAGGACACCCCTTTAGGGACCATCTCCACTTTCAGCTTCCAGCTGTTGCAACAGGTACCCCCTTCCCTGGATTGAGAGCACGAACTTACTGCAGTGCAAAAGTATCCACAGCCAGGGCAACACTGGTGTTTCACCATCCTCCCTCTATGGTCCTCACACAGCACCAAAAGCTGGACTTTGTTAGACGGGCGCATCAGTTCATACTTAACCACACTGTTTGTGCATCGGCCCAGCTGGAACAGGAGAAATTAAAGGCAATGAAATTACTGCAGACCACACCACTCCCTGTGCTTGTGCAGAGGAAGATTTTTGCACACTGCTCCTCGAGGAGGCCTGGCTTTTTCACAGGGATTCAGCTGTGTGCCAGAGAGCATTAGCAGTGCAGCAGGAAGCTGTGAAAGCTGCTCTCAGGAAGGAATGCATCATTTACTAACTAACATGCATGTGCACCCCGAGTCATTTGTTCCTTGCAACAACAACAACAACAACAACAAAATGGTAACTGGAAATAGGCAACAGCCAAGCAGCAGAAGGGGCAGTCCCAGGGGCCTGACTCACACAACACACACTCTCCTCTTGCCAGGAAGAGCGGGTGTCAGTGACCAAGAGAAGGAGACCATGCACACTAAATCTTGTTACTGCTCAAAACTCCCAGGCACAGGAAGATAGAGGGGAAAATAATTGCTCCTCATTGCCAGTGAAGTTATCGTCTGTACTGCTTCCAGCACTGGCCCCTGCCCAGACCACAGGGATGAAGAGCCAGGCTTTGATGAGAGCTCAGCTAAAGTCATGTTTGGAGCGGGTTTTCCAAAGGATTTGAGCAGGTTTTCCAAAGGATTTCACCAATCTACAGCTCTGGATTTAAAAATCACAGGATCACAGAATCCTGGAATGGTTTGGGTTGGAAGGGACCTTAAAGCTCATCCACTTCCACCCCTTCCACACCTTCCACTGTCCCAGGCTGCTCCCAGCCCTGCCCAGCCTGGCCTTGGGCACTGCCAGGGATCCAGGGGCAGCCCCAGCTGCTCTGGGCACCCTGTGCCAGGGCCTCAGCACCCTCACAATTCCTTCCCAATCTTCACCTGTCCTCCTTCAGCTTGAAGCCATCCCCTTTTCCTATCATCCATTCCTTCTCCTGCCCCACCTTGTTCTGTTACTGGCAGCAGGTTCCAGAGCTGGGGTTCCCTGTCCCCAGCCAGTGCTCCTTGCTCTGCTGCTCCAAGAGGGAGCAGCACCTCCTGCAGCCACCACTGTCACCTGCCAGCATGACAGGACACTCCTTGTGTCTGTTTCAAGCTCCTCTTGATAATAATCTTGCTTTCCCCAAAGACCTGGCAAAGGAGATTTATAAACTGGGAATACCAAGGTGAAAGGCTGCTCCAAGGAAGGGTCCCTTGGAGGGAAGGTGGAGAATTTATTGAGCTCATGACAGAGTCAGTCAGGGACTCAGTGCCACACACTGTCCCTCTGCTCCAGCCAAGGATTTGCTGCGTTTTCTCAACAAAACTAAACTTTCTCTCTAATTTTTTTAAATTCCACTCCTGCAGACACAACACCCCTGTGGGAAAAGAGAATGGATTTTATCCTAGGCTCATCATCCACCCCAGCATCTCCAGTTCAGCTTTCCCAAATTCCAGCTGCAGAGATTTCCTGTGGTTGGGACACCTTGGCCAGACTGATCCCTGTCCCCACCCCGAGCCCAGGGGCTGCAGGGTGGCACAAGGGGACCATGGATCCTTTCCTGAGGAGGAATTTCACTGAGCTGAGGAAATTCCACTGACAGGTGGAAAGCTGCATTACCCATGTGAGGAAGACCCTGAGCTGTTATGCCACACTTTATTATTTGCTAGAAACTCTAGAACAAGTTCAACATGATTAATTGCTATTTTCCAACCATTAGAGAGTGCAGCAGGGTGCTCATGACTATTTATAACACTCTCCAAGGACATGACAGTCTGGAGAAGCCATTATTCACACATATAATATTCCTCTAACATCTCTGAGTCACTTATCCCATTATCAAAAAGAATCTAACATAAAGCATGGCCTTTGCTATTCCTCCCTGTGATTTATCCAGGGACAGAACTGTCAACTCACCATAGCCAGGAGCAGCAATTCCTTCACACACCTTGTGTTTGTTTAGAAACCCTGGGGTCCCCCCTCTCTCTGATGAGTCTCCCAGGACATTTTCTCTTTAATGAACCAATTTTGCCATTCTTTGGAAATTCCTCTCTCTGCAGGTACCAGCACATACTAACAGAAGCAGAGCTGGTCTACAAACCTGATTATCCCTTTGTCCCTCCATCCACCCTTCTCCTGGGATCCTACAGAAGAACTAGGGATATTCTCACTCCTTGTGCTACCACTGGTGAGTGTGAGAGAGCTGCAGTGAGGCTGAAGCTGAAGAGAAACCCAGTGAAAGGAGAATCCATCAAGAGCATTCCTGTCCTGCAGTTCTCCCTTTCCAGATTGTGGAATGGAGTCACTTCTGCCACTCCCCTCCACACTTCTGGAACCAGCAGAGCCCGAGCAGCCTGGCTGTGACCCAAAGGCATCGAGTGCAATCCCTGTCAGACCAGGGTGGAAGCTTTGGGACAGAAAGAGAGGAGGACAGAGAAAGGCTGGGGCAGCAGAGCCATGCCAAGCTCCTGAACTCAACACCCGACCACAGAAAGGTTTGCAGCAGGTCCTGCACAGTCAAGGGAAAGCAGCTCCAATCCTTGAGCGCATTTTCTCCCTCTGCTGCAGGTTCCTGTACCTGAGCCTGAGGTGTGAATGTTACATCAACCCCATCCAGCCTCACAGGCCAGGACAAGCCCAGGAGAGGCACCCAGAGCCTCTCCCAGTGCAGGCTCAGAGCTGCTCCCTCCCCAGTGGCCTCACCCAGGGTGGGACAGGCACAGAGTGCTGGGGGACACGGGCCCTGCCACTCCTCACACCAGCGGGTCCCAGTCTAGGCCCAGAGCCCCTGGGTGACCCCACACGTGCTCCTGGCACTGCCTGTCACCCTGTCTGGCCTTGTCCTCAGCAGGAAGGCTGTGGGGAGCTAAAGGACAGGCTCCTACCTCGTTGTCCACGCTCTCTGTGGCCATGCACTGGTTGTTGGCCAGGGTGGTGATCTCTCTGCTTTTGGGGGTTTCCATCCGACAGCTGCACAGGGGCACCTCCTGCAGACCATCCACTTCCATGGCTTCAGGGCCATTGGAGAGACCTGGGGCACAGAAAAACAGGGAATTAACTCCAGTTCTCTGCCAGGAGAAAGGATTCAGTCCACCAACACCCTGTGACACCTTCCCATTCCATGTCAATGCTCTCCAGGCTTTAGCAGCACCCTGTAAAAGAGACCCTTTCACACCAGCTGGAGTTTGCAAAAGCCTCCTGCACTTTTCCAAGTCCAGCCACACTCAGCTGGCTGTGCTGAAAGCAAGAGTGATAAGTTAAGATCAGTTTACTCTGAGAAAGCCTCAGAAAGGCCAAGCAATGAGGTGCAGGGTTTTATCAGCCTCTCTCTCCTCCTCACAACACTGGGCTCTGGCACCAGGAAATTTGCAGGAAACCACCCAGAGCTGGAAATTTGAATAGGCAGTGGAGTGATAAATAGAGATGATCAGGAAAGCACAAACTCCTATTTGCAAAGGCTTATTACACAGATGGGAAAACAAAATTCCTGGGACTGTTTGGTGTCAGCCAACCACAAATTATTTATTTTGGAAAGAGAACAAACCAGGGGAAAGAAAGCAGCAAGATGCTCCAATGTTCTTTTCCTCATTGCTCTGAGATGTTGAACATTTACAAACCTGTGGAAAGGTGGATGAGGGCTTTGGAGGGGGATCACTGTGGGAATATTCCTGTAGTTCCTCTGGATTTAAATCAATCACTGGGTGACCCAGGATTGCCAAACTGGCCTAGTGACAAGGGGGGTGATTCCAGTCCTACCCTCCTCTTCCAGACCAGCACCAAATCATCTCTGCAATGTTTGCAGCACAGAATCCTTTGGCCTTGGGGATGCTTCACCCTGAAGCCTTCATCCCAAGCTTTCATCCCAAGCCTTCATCCCAAGCTTCCATCCCAAGCTTTCCCTGCCCACTGCTATGGATTGACTCACACTGAGAAGGAAGCTTGCTGCTATTTTTCAAGCTTTGGAATGGGAATGGAGAGCTCTCTTGCTGTGAGGTTTTGCAGATTTCACTTCATCCCTGGGGGAGATTCCTCCTCAGCTTCCCCCAGAGCTCCCTGCCCGTGCCTCTGACCCTGCCAGCCAAGCACAAACCCTTTTCATCCCATCAGGAATTCCCTGAGCCAACAAGTTGCAAGCCCAAGCCTAGCAAAGGGATATTTCAAGACACACAAGGCCAGGGAAAGTCCTTGCTGTTTTCATGTAAAATCCTGTCAAGATCTTAAAGGTTTAAGAGTTTTCTCTGGGAGCACAAATCACAAAGCTCATTCCTCCTTCTGAGCTGTCACTTCCCTAATCTGTTTGACATCCAGAGGCTGTGGTGAAAGCATCCCTCATCCCTCCTGACCCTCCCTTGGTGGGGAAGGCTCCCACCCTCTCTTTGAAGTGCCTCTATCAAAGGAGCCAGACAAGCTTTGAGGGAGCAGTGGGGACAGACAGGCAGATCCAGCCAGGGGATTCTGGATGTGAGGAGAGTTCAGCACTGGGAGCAGCAGCTGGGGCTCAGCACCCAGGGCCCAGCACCAGCCCCTTCCCTTCCCAGGGCTGAACAAAGCATTCCTGAGGGAATCCAGCGGCAGCAGTTCTGGGGGGATGCTGAGTCAGCATATTTCAGGGAATGGAGGGAGCTGCTGAGTAGGACAGGAGGGCTGGGGCAGTACCTGGGACCCTTGGTGAGTGTATTCCTGAGCTAACGTGCCTCACTGGAACTGGTATCCCATCTACACCCTCACTCCATCCCAGTGCCCTCCCTATCCTCACACACATCCAAATCCATCCCTACTTCTATCCCAGCCCCATCCCTACTCTCATCCCCAGCCCAGCCCCATCCCTATTCTCATGCTCACCCCCAGCCCAGCCCCATTCCCATCTCCTCCTCATTCTCATCCCAGCTGCATTCCTACCTCAGCCCCATCCCTGCCCTCATCCTCACCCCCAACCCAGCCCCATATCCATCCTCATCCCCAACCCAGCCTTATATCCATCTTCATCCCCGGCCCAGCCCTATATCCATCCTCATCCTCATCCCCAACCCAGCCCCATATCCATTCTCATGCCCAACCCAGCCCCATATCCATTCTTATCCCAAATCCAGCCCCATATCTATGCCTATCCTCATCCCCATCCCTATCCCAACATTCATCCCTGCTCCAGCCCTATCCTCCCCCTCATCTTGATCCCTAATTCCTATCCCATCCCGATCCCTAATCCCAATCCCTAACCCCCATCCCTTCCCGATCCCTAACCCCCATCCCATCCCAATCCCCAATCCCCATCCTATGCCCATCCCTAACCCCATCCCGATCCCGCTCCCGCCCCATTCCCGTTGCTCTGCGCGCTCTGTGGCCGCCAGGGGGCAGCCGGGGCCCCGAACGGCGCCACCCTCGGAACAAAGGGACCCCAAACCCGACCCCAAACACAGTTCCAACCCCAAACCTGGTCTCACATTCAAATTCAAGCCCAAACCCAGCCCTGACCCCAAACCCAGCCCCAATCCCAACCCCAAACCCAACCTCGACCCCAACCCAATCCCCACCTCCAACTCACCCCCAAGCCGAGCCCAGCCCAGCACTCACCTCCCGCAGGTGAGGAGAGGATCCCCTTCACCCGGAGGTCCAGGGAATCCAGGGACACCTCCATGTACTCCATGCTGTTCTCCTGGCTGGGGCCCTCCCTGCTGCCCAGCGAGGCTTTGTAGGCTTCAGCACCTGGATGGGAACAGGGGATTCACAAAAACCCCACAGGAACAGCCACTCCATGGCTGTGAGGCCCGGGCTGTGCAGGGTCCCTGTGGGAACCACGAGGGCAGAGCACAGGGAATGTGCCACCAATATCTGGGCATGGCTGGGCACTGCTCTGCTCACACTGAGTGTGCCACCTCCACCCAGGCAGGGAACAACAACAGGGGACAAATGAGATGGGTTCAGCCTCAGCAAGGGCACAAGGAAGGGGTGACCCATGGCTGGAGCACCCCCTGCCCCCAGCCTGGTACACACTGGCCAGGCAGGGCCAACTGCACCTCAGGAGGAGGATGAGGCAGGTGACGTCCAGCTGAGTGGGAGGGGAAACACAAAAAGTCAAGGTGTGCCTCCAAGTGAGCAGAGCTCTGCTGGGGAGGGATTGTGGGACAGGGAACTCGGTGTCTCTGCACTCCCTTGGCTTCACTTTCTCTCCTGCTCTGCTTCTGCCAGTCCAGCTTGGCCAAGAGGGTTTGGGTGCCCTTCCAGACCAGCTGAAGGGGAAGAAAACCAGCCTGCAGGTGAAATGCAGAATTAGGTATTTGCTGTGACAGGGCTCAAGGGTCCCTATGGCATACTGGGAGGAAGAGGAGGGAGCCAGGTGAGTGATAGAGCCCAGCCATAGAGCAGAGGCTGGAAAATGGTCAATTCATTCACAAGTACCAAAAAGCTGCTGATACAAAAATGATCCTTTTGCCCTGAATTAGCAAACCCAGAAGAATAAAAATGAATTTTTATTCACTGCTTTGGTGACAGTGGATGTATGACACCCCAGCAATGAGGCTGAAGGCACAGCTGCACTCTCCACTTATCTCTCCCATGTTGTTACCTTTCCCAAGCAAGAAGCATCACATCCTGCCTTTCCCCACCTCTCAACAGAGCTCACTTGAGACATTTTTTGGTGCTCAGTGACTCAGGACAAACAAGAGGGACCTTGAACAACACCCACACTTGGGATGGGCCCGAGGCAGCTCCTTCCTTGTGGTTCTTCCACAGGGAGCCAAGCCAAGCTGCACATTCCATTCAGCTGCACAGGCACCCACACAAAAACAATGCAGCACCACTCCAGGCTGGTTCTTTCTGTCCTTCTGCATCCAAACATCCTCCCTGGAGCTCATGGGACAGGAATCCACATGGACACATCACATAACCCCAGATTGCTTTGGGTGGGAAGGGACCTTAAAGCTCATCCCATTCCAAACTCTGCCATGGTAGAGACACCTCCCACTGTCCCAGGCTGCTCCCAGACCTGTCCAGCCTGGCCTTGGGCACTGCCAGGGATCCAGGGGCAGCCACAGCTGCTCTGGGCACCCTGTGCCAGGGCCTCAGCACCCTCAGAGGGAACAATTTCTCCTGTATAGATAGCATCAATTTCCTGTCTCTCAGTCCGAAGCCATTCCCCCTTGTCCTGTCACTATCTCCCCATATAAAATTCCTCTTCCTCCTTTTTGTAAGCCCCACAAGGCCTTTTTTTGGATACTCCAAAATAAAGGGATTGGTGAACAAAATAAAGCTCCTCCAGCATTCCAAGGACAAAGCCACAAGTTCTGCTGTGACAGTGACACCAGCAGCCCCTGCCAGTGAGGGGCAATTCACAGCCTGGCTCCTCACACAGCCCAGCCTTGGGAAGGAAGGGTGAGCCCAGGCCTCAGGTCCTTCCCTGGGGTGGAATTCAGGAACAAACCCCCATCCATTACCTAGCACACCTCCTTGTTTCTTTTTATTCCTCCGCCTCCTCTTGCGGGTGGGTTTCAGCCATGGACTGTCTGTCTTCCCTTTCCTCTTCAGCAGCTTCTTCTTGACGCTGGACTCGGAGCTCTGGGGAAGCAGAGAGGCCACGTGCACGTCAGGCATGGTGGCACCAGGGTCCCTCTGTGGAGCAGCCCTCACCCAGCTCCAGCAGGGCTCTGAAACCAAGGGCTGCTAAGGTGCCTTTATAGCACTGCAAAGGAAACCCAGGCACACGTGGGGGTGGATTTCCTGTCAGCTCAGCAGGCCAGGCTGCGCTTTCTCTTCCATGGAGGCCCTCACACCACGCTCATGAGCAGCACTGCAGGTGGGCAGGCACATGCACACTTCCAGCTTCTCCCAAAAAATCATTGTACAATCACAGAATATCCTCAGCAATAAGGGAGCCACAAAGAGCACCAAGTCCAGCTTCTGGTCTGTCACAGATATCTTTTCATAAAAATCTTTTCTTTAAGATTTTGCCTTCTAGGAAGATGAGGCTCCAGAAAAAGAATGTAAACAATGGTTATCTGCTGCTGTAAAATGCAAGAGGTGCACCTGTGATTAGCCCATGTTAGATGTGTATAGTTAATGGCCAATCAAGGACCGAGCTCTCTCTGGGACAGAATCAGAGAGAGCTCCTTTGTTATTCATTCCTTTCCTATTCTTAGCTTCTCCTTCTGAGAACTTTTCCTTCTTTTTAGTACAGTCATAATGTAATATATATCATAAAATAATAAATCAAACCTCCTAAACATGAGGTCAACATTCTCGTCTCTCCCTTCATCCTGCAACCCTTGCAAGCCCTGTGACACTGGTCCTGCACAAACACCTCACCCTGTCCCTCAGAGGGTTGTCCCAATGCCTCTTGAGCTCTGGCAGTTGGGTTTTCAAACTCAAATATTCATGTTTCTCCACAAAAAAACCCACTTTGCACTTGAAGGGCCACCTGGCAGGGCTGGAGTGGACCTAGGGGAACTGAGCTCCAGGGCAGCAGAGCAGCCCCTGAGCCAGGCACAGCACAGACCAGTCATGCAGCAAATACTCAGCCACACGTATGAATCTCAACAACAGACTTTGGGTTTTGGTTTCAAAAAATTCACAGTCGTCTGGGGTGGGGTTTCAAAGTCAACATCAGAACAGGAATCAGGCACCCCAACCCTGCCAGGGTTTAATGCAGCCATCATAAAATTCATGTTCAGACTGAAACTGTCAGCTCCTGATGCTTATCCAGCTGCCAGCAAAGCCTTGGAAAACCTCCTGGTACCACTACCAGCAGCTGGATCAGGCTCTGCCTCCACAGGCAGCTGTGCCAGGCCCTGCTGTCCCAGTGAGGGAACACGTGGAGCTGAGGCCTGGCTCTCCAGGGTGTCTGTGCTGCCCCAAAACCCCTGAGTGTGGGCCCAGCTTTACCCCAACTGCATCACTCTGCTCGTGGGGAGAGGTTTGTGTGAGAGCCAGTCCTGCCTGGGAGCTGAGTGACTCAGCAGAGCTCCAACCTCTCTCCAGGACGTGGAGATCCCACCTGGGAGTTTGGGTGTGAGTCCCAGCCCAAGCCATGGACAACAGACTGGCCTGAGCCACCCAGGCTGCCCAGGCAGCCCCTGCTCCTTCTGGGCTGCTGCAGGGTCAGAATGTGGGGAACAAGACCCTGAACAGCTTCAGGGATTCCCTTGGTGTGTTTTGTGAGCATGATTCCACCTTCAGCTCAACACATCAAGAATTTTCTCCACTCTTGCTGAAGAGCTGGGTGTCTGAAATGCTGGCTCCTCAGCCTGAGAGGCTGTGGAAGGACAGATTTTAAGGAAAGGGGAAGGAGGCAGGCAGAGACTTCAACGAACAACCTAAATTTAAAAATCACCAGGTTCTCTTCACCAACCGTCTAAAAATAAAAAGTAGAAATCCCCAGCAGCTGCTGAAAGTCCTGACCTGCTGCTGTACGACCAAGGTCCCAGGGAGAGTGCCTGTCTGTCTGTCTGTCTGAGAGCTGTTTGTCTCCCTGGCAAGAGCTGCTCACCAGGAACATTGAATTTAGGCTGTGGGCTGGGCCAGTGGGTCTGGGAACAACCCCACCCCAGCAGAAGTTGGGGTTGAAGATAAAGCTTTGCTGGCTCCTACCCGGTGCCAACAGCGCATCTGAGGAACTCAGGCACCCTTAAACACCTCTGCTAACATTCAAATGATTAAAAGCAGTCAACACCTCATTGAAAACAACAAAAGCCCATTAGTTAGCATCAGAATGTAATTAATTGTGCCACGGATCAGGGTTAAGCACCTTGTGGAAAACAATACTCGGGTGTGTGGGTGGTTTCAGAGAATGAGTTTTGTCAAGGAGACTTGAAACTGCACCGCTTTGGCTTTGCTCTCTCTCTCTCTTTCTGGCAGCAGTGCAAAGGGGAAAAATTATTATCAACAGGCCACGGGCTGAAAAACACATTTAGCAGCCCAGCTTACCAAGTCAGACTCGTCTCCATCCTCCTCCTCCTCCCCTGATTCTACAGACTCTTGCTCTTCCTCAGACTCGCCATCATCGATCTGCAGCCACCATTTGCCCAGGAACAGAATGGGTCAGTCAGGTCGGGTCTCCCAACACAGAGCATCCCCCACACCCCTGGTGATCCCAGCAGAGCATCCCCCACCATCCTGCTGTGCCCACACACACCAGAGCACCCCAGCCCCAAGCTGCACATGCACTGAGTGAGCCCAGTGAGCTCCAACCACATCATGGAACACCCGTGGGGATGACAGAGAGAGGAAAAAAAATTCCACTCCAGAATAAAGTTTTCCAACTAAATTTCAACTTTTTTGATAATCCCAAACCAGCCTCATGCCTCTACTGTGTATCAAAATTTGAGGGGAAAAAGCAATTGGATTATTTTAGTGCTTTCCCAAGCAAGGCTGGGAAGATGTTTCCTATTGGTTCAGGAAATCCCAGAACCCCATGGTTGGGGTTCTGCAGAGTGGATCCCAGAACTGTGTAGGGCTGGAACTGGGGGGGAGGTGGGGAGACCCTCAGAGGTGCAATGGGAAATGGTCACAAAGGGCCTTTCTACCATTGCTGCCATCTTGCAGGTGAAAAAAACCCTAGAAATTGCTTCAATCCATGCCCCTCCATCCCTGCCACCCCATGCTGCTCCCCAGCCCCAGCAGGGCACAGGAATCACCTTCCTGGCGTTGTCTGCGTCGGACGCGCTGTCCTTGGAGGTCCTGTTGTCATCCCCAGGGAACATGGCTGCCTGATCTGCTCCATGATCATCTTCCTCTTCCAAATCATCCGAGTCCTCCTCCTCAGAGTCCACATCTATGCTCTCCCCGTTCACGTGGGGGCTGCCATCCCCCAGCTCCTTGTCACTCTGCAGGTCACCCAAGCACACGAGACACAAAGACAACATCAATTCCTGAGATCCATCCCAGATTCCCCTCTGTGCCTGGAGCTCTAAAGCTGGCTGTGTGTCCATGCAGAGCTCCTGCCATTGTCACCTCACCCTGCTGGACTTGGGGACCACAAGGAGCCACTGCAGACTCACATGGTTAGGGGAGGAGAACTCCATTGAAGCATGGAGGGATGCAGGAAGGTTTCCAGGGAACGGAAAGGGAAGTTACATCACATTGAGATTTTCATATCACTCCTTGAAATCCCAGCACTGTTCTCCTTGAATTCTAAGCCCAAAACTTCAGGGCACAGCTTGCAGCAAAAGCAGAATTTCATCAGGAGTGAGTCCATGTCTAAACTTTTATAAGTACTCAAGTGTTTTTCTGTACAGCCTCAGGCACCAACATGAGACATTGAGGACCAAAACAAAAAGGGGCCTGCTTGAAATCTCTCCAGTTGCCCAGGATTCACAGACAGAAGTGAAACTTTCATTGGGAAAGGTTTGTTTAGCAGCTGGTACCTGAACAGCCCCTCTGGAACAGTCATTCCCAAAGCAGCAAGGCTGCTCTGGGCAGCCAGAGGGAAGAGGAGACTCAGAAGGGAAAATGTTGATCCCAACAAGCCAGGACACCCCTGCACCTCCACATGGGTTTGGTGTCCAAAACAAGGGACATGGAAGTGACAACAAACATGTGCAGTGAGCTCAGTGCTGCCCTTACCTTGGCACCCACAGAGGAATGAGTTATGCTCTTGAACATCTCTATCATTGTTCTCTGTTTTAACACTTTGGTCTTTTTCTTGGGAACCAGGCTATAGGTTCCCATTCTCCGCTTTTTCTTCCGAGATACTGCAGCAGCTGCAAGAGAGGAGCAGAGGGAACCCAAAGTTTGCTCAGGAATGAAAAGAAGGGACAGAGAACAGGGGAGAGGGACTGGGGACAAGGCCTGGAGTGCCAGGACACAGGGAATGGCTCCCAGTGCCAGAGGGCAGGGCTGGATGGGATATTGGGAATTGGGAATTGTTCCCTGTGAGGGTGGGCAGGCCCTGGCACAGGGTGCCCAGAGCAGCTGTGGCTGCCCTTGGATCCCTGGCAGTGCCCAAGGCCAGAAATAAATTTAAAATCTTCAACAGGCTGCAAAACAACTGCTAAATGTGACTTTTTCATGGCAATTCTGCTAAAAGTTTTTTTTTTAATCAAATTAAGTCTCATGCAGTAAGGATTTATTTAAAGGCATATGCAGCAATGATAAAAAAGCAAAAATTCCCAGAAAGGGGTGAAAAGATCTCTCATGTGTATAAAAATATTACATCTAAGGATTGTAATAAAAAGGATCAGCACCAATTTTTAAGTCAGTTTTCTCACCACCTTAGCTAGATAAAACAGTCCCATCTTTGCTATTCTTATTAAACAGGTTTCACCCACAGTTCGAGAGAAGCACTGAGAGCAGAATGCCTTGCAAAGGGAACTCCAGGATGCAGTTGGAGCTCCCTGTGCTCGCACGTTGTGGGCTACAGGCTGGACAGGGCTGGGAGCACCTGGGACAGTGGGAGGGGTCCCTGCCATGGCAGGGTTGGCACTGGGTGGGATTTAAGGTCCCTTCCAACCCAAACCTTCTGTGATTCTATGAAACCACACCTGAGGGCAAAACCTGGGAAAACTTCCTAGTCCAACAGATTTATTTACAAGACAAGCAGAAGATGACACACGGATCACATAGACACCTTCATGCCAGGGCTGCCCAAACCCTGAGTGCCCTCTGCACACTCCTTCTGGCCCCTCCATCAGCACACACAGCATCCAATCCTGAAATTATCCTGCATTTGGCAGTGCTGCTGGTGTTGTGGAAGGCTGAATGGAATCCAATTGCTCAAATTGAGACTGCAAGGCCAACAATACCGACTGACAATGGAAGCAATCTGACAGTAACTGAAGAACACAGGGGGGGGAAAAGGCACCTTACATAAAGAGCTGTTTGCCATTTCACCTCATTTTACACCTCCTATGGAAGTCTGTTTGATTCCTTTCACTGCTTTGATTGGGTCTTAATTTGTTAAGTCTCCCTCTTGGCCTTCTAATCAAAGCAGCCATCGCAGCTCCCTGCCTGCTGCTGACTGAGGTGAGTGCACAGCACAGGGATGCTCGGTGCAGGCTCTTTTAGGAGCTGCCAGCTTCAGCACCACTGGTATTGTTTGCACTTGCACAGCCTGTTCCTCGGAAGCGTTTTTTCATCTTCCACGGTAATGAAATTTCACCAGAATTTATGAAGAGACCACTTAAAAAATTCTGTGAACCCAATTAATTTTATTTATAAGGCTGTAATTCTTGGTAAGCAGCTGTGGAGATATTCAAAGCCCTACAGAACTGATAGAAACCTCTCAGAACATCCCAGAGGAAAAGGGATCAAAGTGTCTCCTCTAAGAAAAGGAGAAAAAAGGGAAGGGAACCCTGGAGGAGACTGAGTGGCAAAAAGGTATTAACAGACTTTTAACCTCCTCATCTCCCTCTCAACCCCACAGCTTTGGGAGTTGGGAGCTGTTCAGGATTCCAACATTCCAGCCCTTCCCTTTACCTGTCTGTGCCTTGGTGGTGGCCACATAGCTCTGGTTCTGAGGTAGTGACTGGTGAAGGCCCGGGAGAGAGGGCAACGCCAACGGCTTCACAAAGTCCAGCATGTTCTCAAACTCCTTCTCCTTGGATTCCTTCTGATCTCTGCTGTCTCTCCCATCTTTGGGGTCTTTACTTGCATGCTGGAAAACACAAAGGCAAGTTAAATTGAGTTTTTGGATTGAAGAATTTTAAAAAAATAGGAAATGAATTGAATTAATTTCTCTTGACCAAAATCTCTTTTATTTGAGGGCAGGAGGAGCCCATTCCCAGCAGGAGCACACAGATCAGGGGGCTTTGCCCAAGCACTGCCAGCCTGGCTGAGTGGCTCCCCAGGGCTGAAGGTTGTGCAGGTGACAGGCAATGACAGAGGTGATGACAAGGAGCAGGCTCTGCTTACACAGCACTGGGTGCCTCTGGAGAAGAGGAACCAACTCAAGCAAAGCACTTGGTCCCTGTCACACCAAACATGCTCAGCAACTGTTCTAGAGGAGCAGGCAGCAAAGGAAAGGGATTTTCCTTTTGGACAGCACCTGGCACCACTGAGCCTCAGCAAAGGCTCCCCTCTAGCCCAGCACACACCAAGCACAGCCAAAGCAGCTCCTTCCTTGACACTGAGAGCTGTCCATGCTCCCCTTAACCCCCTGTTCCCACTCCAGCTGCTGCTGTTCCAGCCCCCAGGCAGGCTCCAGGCTCCTGCTGCAAACCAAAAGGATTTTAGAGTTGTTCCTGCAGCTCCTCACAGGCACCACAGCCACTCACACCTGCTCTGATCTGAGCCTGTACCCAAGACAAAGTCAAATCCTGCACCTCTGGTTATGAAAGAAGGGTTCCTATAGCTGCACAGAGAATCATTTAGGTTGGACAAGACCTTTAAGGTCACCAAGTCCAACCATTAACCCAGCAGGGTCAAGTCCACCCTCAGCCATGTCCCTGAGTGCCATTTCTCAGCTTTTGATGTTGCTTCAATGTTTTCCTCCTCTAATTTAGGAAACAATCCCCTTCCTGTGTGTCTAACTCCATTTCATGTACCCTAAAAGCCTCAGACAGAGAGGTCCAGACTGTGTGTGTGTTTCCTTTTTCCATCGGTGTTTATTCTTTAAACAGCCATGGCTTGGTTTGATGGAGCTTTTATTCCTGTGCCTTTTGTGTCAAGTGTGCCAAAGGGAAGCCAAGGTCAGGGCAAGACCCCTCAGTCCAGTTCACTGAAACATTTTCCTGTCCCAGCCCAGCAAGGAGGTGCCTGGTGAGAAAGGAAACACATGGAGGAATGAAACAAAGTCCCTGCTGGTCCTTCTCTGCCACAGGGTCAGCAGACATTGGGGTGGCAGCTGCCTCTGCTGGGCCATTTTACACTGGATTTGCCCTCTGGTTTATCCCACTGCATCCAGCTGGGCAGCAGGCAGGTCTGGCAGAGCAAAACAAGAGAACAAGCAGCAGAACACAAGGAAAGACTGAGAGAATTGGGATTGCTCAGCCTGGAAAAGAGAAGGCTCTGGGGAGACCCTTTGTAGCCTAACAGTACCTGAAGGAATTACAAGGAAGAGAGAAACTCTTCACAAGGGCACAGAGTGCCAGGAAAAGGGAATGGCTTCACAATGAAAAAGAGCAGGGATGGATGGGAGATTGAGAATTAGGAATTGTTCCCTGTGAGGGTGGGCAGGCCCTGGCACAGCTGTGGCTGCCCCTGGATCCCTGGCAGTGCCCAAGGCCAGGCTGGACATTGGGGTTTGAAGCAATTTGGGACAGTGGGAGGTGTCCCTGCCATGGCAGGGCTGGCACTGGATGGGCTTTAAGGTCCTTTCCAACCCAAACCATTCCATGATTGTAAGGTTTAAGTGCTGCTCCACTTGCAAGAAAATCTTCTTTACAGGACTTGTGAAGCAAGAGCTGAAAAAGCCCAGCAAAAAGAGGAATGCAGGCAGAAGCAAGGCTGGAATAAAAAGCAGGAAGCAATAAAAGCACTCAGGTTCAGGCAGGCAGCCCCAGCCACTGCTCTCCAGCAATGTGACCTTGGGAACAAACAGGGAAGAGGCTGATTCCCCTCATCAGGCTGTGCCACGTGTGTGGTGCTGGCAGAGGCAGGCCCAGCAAAGCCCTAATGATAATCAGAAATGACCCACAGCAAAAGGCCATCAAAGTGCCAATGATTCCTGCAGCAAGCCCATAACTTATGGCTCAATTGCCACAGCTTTTCTAAAAGGGCAGCAAGTCTTGGATTAAGGATTTCAAAGATGACAAATCCACCACAGCCTTTGATATGTTGTTCCAATGCTTAATTGCTCTCACTGTCAAATAATTAAATGCATTATGTTTTTGCAACTAAATTAAAAAAGCCCTGTCTCATCAGAACCTCTCACTCCCAGGAGACGCTTATGGACCAACTTCTTTTTTTTTTTTTTTTAAACTTTCTCTTCAATAATTTTAATAGAATGAGCAAATTAATTGGCCTTAGGATCATTTTCTGGATCACCCCTGAGTCTGCTCCCAGTTGTTCTACCCCTTCAAAAATGCACGTCAGGAGTGCAGGGCACAGGATGCCAAGAATAGTCTCAACAATACTATTTATACCTCTTAAAAGTCCTGAGTTTATAGATCTAAAGGTTAACAGTAACTCTTGGCTACACAATTATTCTGAGAATTCCCAAGTCCCCTGATATATCCAATGCTTTCCATTTCTAACTTAAAATTAGAAAAATGAGCTTGGGACAGGCAGATCTGACACAAGTGTGAACAAGGGCTGCATTTTTTGTCCTTTAAGTGCAGTTATTTGCAACTGGTCTCTAACAAAAGGTGCTGTTACTCCCAAACACCAGGAATTCACACTCAGGCCATGCCAGGCTGCTTGGAAGAACACAATCCAATGTTTAAATTAAAAAGTATTATGTTATTAGTTTAGGGTTTGTCTCTGCCTCTATAATTACAACAGAGAAATAAATTTAAAATCTTCAACAGGCTGCAAAACAACTGCTAAATGTGAGGTTTTTCATGGCAATTCTGCTAAAAAGTTTTTTTTTAACTCAAATTAAGTCTCATGGAAGAGAGATACTTGAAGATACTTAAAGATTTACTTGGAGGCACATGCAGCAATGGTAAAAAAAAACAAGAATAACAATAATTCCTAGAAAGGAGTGAAGAGATTTCTTGTGTTTATAAAAATATTACATCTAAGGATTGTAATAAAAAGGATCAGCACCAATTTTTAAGTCAGTTTTCTCACCACCCTTCCTGGTTCTCAGCTACATAAAACAGTCACATTTTTGCTATTATTATTAAACAGGTTTCACCCACAGTTTGAGAGAAGCAGAAGGAAACTCCAGGATACAGTTTGAGCTCCCTGTGCTCACGTTGTGGGCCACTGGAGGCCAAAAAAGGACCATAAATGAGACAGAAAAAGAAATACAACACCAACATCTTCATTTCTTGCAGCTTCTCATGTGGTATCAGCTTTGTGTAGTGAATAGTGAAGAATTTGGGCAGATATTCCAGCATTTCCAGCAATGGTTGTGCCTGGAAACAGCAAAAATGGGAACCACCACTATGTCTAACTTCTCTGTGTGAAATACAGCCAAGAAAATGGGCTAGATTGGGGCAAGAACAGGATATTTGATGTGTTTACAAAAATTAAACTCAAGTGCTGTCTACATTTTAACAGGATCAACCACATTTCTATTATTGGCACTGAAGTCCCCGACAGCAGCAGGGGGAAGTTATTAAAATGGCAAAAGACAGAATATCCTCAGTTGTTTTGGTTTTTCCCTGAAAGCAAAACTACAGAACAAACCAACCTCAGTAATGGACTCTCATGTTGGCTCTATAAACTCCACAGGACATTTTTACCACTGCCCAGCATTTAAAGGGTCTTTCCATCACTAAAACCAGCAAGATGGGAGAGAAACCAGAGTACTGATGGAAGGACACAGGCACAGGTCCTGCCTGGGAGCAGGGCAGCTCTAAGCACTGCAGAAAGGCTCCCGATGCCTGAAACCACCTCAGGCTGAGATTCTGGGCTCCCTTAGTCCTGTGCTCTGCAGGACTCTCATCTCCAGCACACAAAGCACAGCCAACAGGGCAGGAGGAGTGAGCTGGGCAGCCCTGCCACAGGGAACAGGGCAGCTGGATGGAGAGCTCTGCCTCCCCATCCACCAGCAACAGGGCCAGGAGATTTGTACCAAGGCACTGCCTTTGAAGAGCACAAAGCAGCAGCTCCCAGGGGGATCTGCCTCTAACAACTGGTGAGTGGTGGTTAAGCAAGAAATATCAGTCTGCTATAAAAAATTGATCACAAGCAGATGATAGTGCCTGTAGGAGCTGTAGTGGTGCTGCTCTGCCTTTGCTGCTGCAGGATTGTGGTTTTCACTGCTGAATTTCAGCAGCCTGATCAAGCCTCACCTTGGAGCAACAAGCCTGCAAGGCTTTGCTCTTAGTCTAGATCAGATTAATGATCTGCTGATTATTATGTGCCCATTAGAGGGGGAATTACATGGTGACTTGGTTACAATTACACTGATCTGAATGCAGTCACATCATGATTTAGGCAGCCAGGTAGACTGAGCTGAAGTGAAGATGTGGCCCCAAACCAGCACGCAAGGGGTGTGGATCTCATCCCCATCCCCTCCTGCCCCAAGGCAAGGGAGTGTCACACATCAGTCAAACCGAAACAGGGAGCCCAGGGCAGATGTGCCACCAGGGCTCCTGACCCCACCAAACCCCTCTGCTGGGGCCAGGGCCGTTATTTCTGTGGGCTGTGGTCAGAGCTGGGGCAGCACCTCCAGCAGCAGCAGTTCAGTATCAGGTTAAAGCACTGCACAACAGCCTTCACTCTCACTTCCCTCTGCAGCAACCCCTCTGTCGAAGGAGCCCAATGGCAGCACTGTCACTCCTGAAGGAGGTTCCCCGTCAGGGAAGGGTCTGGAGGGGCAGTGAGGAGCAGCTGAGGGCTCTGGGGTTGCTCAGCTGGAGCAGAGTGAGGGCAGAGCTCCCCGGGGCTGCAGCTCCTCCCGAGGGGCAGCTCCCATCTCTGCTCTGGGACAGGGACAGGAGCCAGGGCACGGCTGGGGCTGGGCCAGGGCAGCTCAGGCTGGAGCTCAGGGCAAGGCTCTGCCCCCAGAGGGTGCTGGCACTGCCCAGGCTGCCCAGGGAATGGGCACGGCCCCGAGGCTGCCAGAGCTCCAGGAGCCTTTGGGCAGCGCTGCCAGGGGTGCCCAGGGTGGGGCTGCTGGGGGGCTGGGCAGGGACAGGGGCTGGGCTGGGGGATCCCTTCAGTCCCTCCCAGCTCAGGACATTTTGTGATTCCATGATATTTATCTCTGCCCAACCTCACACACACCAATTTCACTCTTTCAGTCCAGTGGAGCACACCTAGACACCCCTCTGGAGCAGGTCCTGGATGGACCTTCTGAGTCCTCCCCAAGGACACAATATCCCCATTATCACCATCCCCATTAGGCCCTGTGTAAAAGCATCGGGGGTAGCACAGTCAGGACAGATGGAGACGAGAGATCTCTGCAGCCAGGGCTGGACCTTGGGGTTCATTGCAAAGGGCCTGGGTGCAGGGCCCTGCTGGGAGCTGCCAAACACAGCTCAGAGCAGGAATGAGAGAAGAGAGGGGGAGAGAGGATGAGAGGGTGAGAGAGTAAAAGCAGAAGAGAGTAAAAGGCAAGAGCTAAGAGTAATTACAATACCATAAATCTTCTTCTGTGTTGAATATTCTAATTCTCACTAACCAATCTAGTACAAGATACAAATCCTATAGCATTTACATACAGCCTATAAGAATCATTACATTACCATACTGTGTTACATTTTAAACCCTAAAAACTCCTCTTTGGGCCCCTTCTGCCAAGCTGTAGGGTCTGCTCTGCCCCTTGGGCCTGTCTGCAAGCAGAGGGTGTTGTTCCATCAAAAGGGGATCACCTTCAGCTGGCCACACCATTGTTTTCCAGTTGTTCAGTAACTGAGGGATCTCAAAGCTTGCTTTCATTTCAATCTCATTTATAGTTTCCATATTCTCAAAATCTTATGCCAGACAATCACATTTATAAGGCTTTCCTGTTTCATCCTCCCCAACAGCCCTGCCCTTTTGCTTTATGTTTCCTGTACATGGGAGGGTCAGAGCTCACTGAGCAATCCCAGACCCCTGCAATCCCCTGTTGCCACCTGCCTGCCCCAGAGATGGCCACAGGGTGTTCTGCAGGCCAGAGGCTCCTGCAGGGCAGCCCCAGCCCAGGCCAGCACAGCAGCACCACAAAGGATCCCAGTTTAAAAGCTCTGGGATCAGGTATTTAATGGCACTGCTACTTAAGGGAATAGTTTGATGAACATTGGTAGAAAGACCCACATGAGCAAAGCATCTCCTGCTCCAAGCTCTTCCTCCCTGCCCACATGGTCTCCCCCAATTAAATTGGCACCTGGCATTTTGGGGACACACTGTGAATCAGGCCAAAACACTCATTTAAAGGATTTTTGCACTATTTCATGACCCAGTCCTCTGCACAGCATAAAAAAATACCACCAGAGACACACAGCCCAAACTCCAGCCTTGTGGTCACCAAGGAAAGGAACCACAACTTGGGATTCCCAATTCATCCATCTGCTCCTCCTGTCTCCAAGCAACTCTGGGATGCTCTCACTACCTCTACCATCCTTTATCCCTCATGTTTTACCGAAGTTCAGCTCAGCAGCTGGTTCCCAAGCAGGAGGAGCCTTCTCCAAGCACAGCACACACACACGGACACACACTTGCCTTTCAGTCTGCTGCCTGGCCCTGCAAACTTTTGGGTTCTTAACAGGGCTGTAACATGGATTAGCAGTGAAAGATTCCATCCAAAAGGGCAGTGCTTGTGTTACTGCTCTGTTCAGAAGGGGAGCAGAAATGATGCTCTCTGCTCAAAAACCTTAACATGCGACAACATCAATTAAAATTGTCACCTGTTTCAGATTCAGCTTTGATCCCAATTCAGGAAGCAACTCCTAAACAGAAAAGAAGCTGGTTAAATTGGTGAGAAAATTCTCTCCTTCCTTTCAGAGACCAATTCACATGTGCAGGAAAAGGTTACCAAGGTCCCCTGACACCTATTGGATTACACAAAACAATTTCTTGGCCCCAGCGGGTTTCTGCAGGAGCCAGGGGGAACAAATGTTCACATTTTGCAGGCAGCAAAACACCTTCCTCCCCTCCTCCTCCTCCTCCCAGGCAGAACAGTTCTGCAAGAACAGTTTCACCAAGAAAACAGCAATGCCCTAAAAAATACTAACCAAGCAAATTCCTGTGTTCTGCAATATCAGTTCCTGGGTGATTTCCACAATTTATTTCCTAGGATACAGCACCTGATTTCACAGAGGTTTTTTAAGGGGAGAAGGTGTGAAGGTTGGTACAGGAAAAGCTCCTGAGCTGAGGAGCCTCCTCTAAGCAGCTCAACAAAGAAATAATTGGGACAGAAAAATGACAGCTTAGCAAGGACTCTGCTGCTCTAAAGAAAATAGCATGTAAATTCCAGAGACAATGGGGAAAAATGAGGTAGTAATTATCAGGAAGGCTGAACACACAGATGTTTCATTGTCTTGCAGAACTGAGATCAGATCTTGGGTTCCCATTCAGCTGCAGAGGCTTGAGCAGAGAACATGGGAACAGCCTCTTCTCACCACCCTTCCTGGGAATGTGGCTTCTCTCCCTATTTTAAGCCCAAGGCAAATGCCCAGAGGAGCTGAGGACAGGCTATGCACTTTCTAGAGCAGTCCAGCAAGTGCAGGATTTGGGTTTTTGAAGCTGCTTTTGTCATGTGAGCAAAGAAGGACCAGCAGCCCCATCCCAGTGAGCTGTCCCAGCACTCCCAGAGCTCCCCAACACCCCATGCCACTTCCCAGACACAAACCTTGAAGCCCAAAGGGTTAAATAGAAATATTCTTCTTATATATCATAAAATATGAATGAGGGAAACGCTCCCTCCCAACCCAGCAGTCACCCTTAGGAGGGAATTGCCTCTTTCAATTGCTCAGCCCCATGGAATCTCTCTCTGCTAAATCCCACCAGGGTCTGGGGGTTTGCCCGGCCTAATTCCAGTGCAGAACAGGGGGTTGGAGGCTGCAAAGCCTTCCCTGGGTAGGAGACACCCAGATGGGAGCTGGATGGCAGCTGGGCTTCCCTGTGCAAGCCAGAAACACAGGCAGGGTGAGAGCAGAGGGGAATGAGGGCTCAGGGGGGCTGGCTGGGAATGCTGGCAGGCACCTGTGGCTCCTGCCCCTCTCCTGAGCCTGGTGCCCACAGGTTTGGGATCCTGCTGTGCTCTTTGCACTCCCAGCTGCTCCCAGAGCCACAGGTGGTGCCACAGCCACGGCTGGCCAGGTGCCACCCTCCCTTTTCCCTTTTTCCTCTCTCTTTCCCTGCTCCAGACCACAGGGACTCCCAGCTTTGGGCCCTGCACACCTCACACTGCTGTGCTGAGAGGAGGGGACATCTGAGGGCCCTGTGGATCTGCAGGATCACAGCACCAATGCATTGCACCGACTTGACAAGGCTGCAGCAGCTTCCATGCATTTCTGGGAACAATCCCATGGCTCCCCCTTCCCTTGACTCCCAAGGCTCACCCTTCCCAGGCTCCCTCCACCCTCAGACACAGCACAATGAGAGGATCCAGCTCACTGTATTCATATAAAGCATCACAGGGATGAAAACTGCTTACAGTGGAGCTCTGCCTGTTGCAGGATCTATTCCCTACCTCTGGCCAAGAACCAAGAAAAGAACCAAATTTGTCAATAACCACGACAAACAGAGGCCCATTTCTGTCCTCTCCACTACGACATGAATGAACCAAATGACATTTCCTTATGCCTCCAAAAAAAGAAAAAAATTTAAAAAAAGCAGGGCTCTGCTTTATTAAGTGATGGTAAATCCACCCTAAGGATCCTGGAGAGAACATTTCCCAATGACATGGAGAGAAAGCATCATCTCTTTTAGCCCTATAATGATTCCTACAGCAAAGCAATCAAGTTGCCTCACAGATCAGCTCCTTGACAGCTTCTGAGCTTGGGAGGAGCCTCAAGTTTTCATGCTAGGCTTAATTTCCTTTGGGTTGACCTCAGAAAAAATCTCATTTGTTTCACAAGCAGCTCTGGATATCAGCAGAGGTTGATGAGCAATAGAGCCATGAGAGAAAGGCCATTTAGTGTCTCACACAGATCTGCTGGAGGAGGCAATTGATCAATTATATATTTAGAAATGCATTGGGGATGGGAACTGGTGTTGCCATGTGACCAACTACTTTAACATTTCTGTCTGGTGGAAGAGAAAAAAATAAAATAAAAATAACTAACTAACTAACTAACTAACTAACTAACTACAGATATAGATATAGATATAGATATCTATATAAAAATATAGATAAAATATCAATATAAATATAGATGCATATATCTATAGAAATATATAAATAAATATAATATATTTATTTATATACATATAAAATTGTGTATATTATGAAATTATACATTAATTATAATATTATATTTTAAATAAAGTATAATATAAAATATATAGATTAAAAATATAATATAGACAAGAAATATATCTATTTATATATCTATATAAAATATAAACTATCTTTATAAAAATAAAAATAAGATAAAAATTAAAATTAAATTAAAATTTAAATTAAAATAAAAAAAATAAAATAAAATTTAAAAATAAAAATAAAATATAAATAAAAATTAAAATTTAAATTTAAATTTAAATTTAAATAAAACAAAAACTAAACCAAAAATAATAAAACCACCAATCCACTCAGCAGGCAAGCTGTGAACACCACGTGTTGCCATGCAGCCAGGTGTCCCCCAGACCCCCAGAGAAAGCCAAGAGCAAGCCCAGCAGCAGCAGCAGGAGCAGCTCTGTGCTGGGCAGGTACATTACCAGGCTGGGGGTGGGTTTAGGCATTGTCTTCCGTGCTCTGTGCACCTTGACTTCAGCATTAGCAGCAGGGCCTTTTTTAGCATCCATGTCCTTGCTGCCCTCCCCGAGCTTGCTTGGCATCGTGGCTTGGAGCTGGGCAAAGGACCCCACAGTCCTGCCTTTGCCTGCTCCTCCAGGCAGGGTTTTTGCAGCATGGCCAGTGAGAGAAGCAAAGCTGGTAGTCCTTAGAGGCTGCTCCTGTGCCATCTGCTTGGTTAGGATATATCCATTGCTCCCTGTGACAGAAGTCTGTGTGAAGTCATTTGCTTTCAGATGGTTTTGCTTCCCAGGCTCGCTGTCCGAAATGCCATTTTCTGCTATCCTATTTAATTTAGTAGAAGAGTCCTGCTGGCTCACTTTCGTGTTGTCCTGAGTGTTTTTCGCTGGGTTTGGGTGGCCCCCACCCTCGCTGTGCTCACAGGAACCGTTGGTTTCACCATCCACTGCCATTTTTGGTTCCCCCACTTGCTTTTCTGTAGCGCTTTCATCTGCAGCCATGGCATTAAACCCTGCAGGGAGAGGGAGGAAGAGAGGAGAAAAGGGTCACAAGTGGGTTGAAACCCCAAGGTTGAAACTCCCATGTTGTACTCCAAGCACAGCTACTCACAGTGCAAGAGCCACCACGCCTGATGTAAATCACAGAATCCCAGAATATTTAGGGCTGGGAAAGATCTCCAAGATATCCAACCATAGATCAACCACCACCACATCAATTAAAGCACAGTTTTACTTGTCAGGCTGTTCCCTCACCCACCTGCCCAGCCCTCCTGGCTCCTCACACAGTGACATTTGGGGTGGTGGCCCAGGTGACAGCAGTCACTCCCACCTGCCTGAGTTGCAGATGTGGCCATTTATTCCCAACAATGGATTTTTCAAGGTAAATATTATCTCTGGCTTTTCCAATAACTGCATTTATTGCACCATATGTCAACACCTCACCTGGCAAACAAAACTCTGCCCCATCTTGCATCCGGATCTTTGGCAAAGCCCTTCCCAAAGCCAGTCTGACACAGAAAGGCTTTGCTGGGCTGTCCCAGGGAGCTTTTATGGCCCACACACAGCCCAGCAGCCAAATGTCACCCCCACATGTAAGCCCCATCAGGGCTCTGCTGCTACAGGAACATCCCAAGGAATAACTCCCTGTATCCCAGCTCTCCTGGGAATGTTCTTCAGTGGGAATTGGCTCTTTCAGCACAACAAAGCACAACAGGTCCAGGATTCATGGTGTCTTTTCAGAGGGAAGAGCAGGAGTAAACACAGGAGTGAAGTGTGGTAAATGCATTTTTAGACTGAAATAATTCTATGATTCAAATGCAGCAAGGTTTTTGCAGCCTGACAAAGCTCACACACAACAGTGCCCACATAAAACAAACATTTCCAACATTTCCCTGCTCCTCCATCAGTGACTTTGTCCCACCCAAGATTTCAAATCCAAGCTGAAAAATCCAACTAGGAATGTCACATACTTGCAGAAAAAGTTTCTGACATGACAACCCAGCAGCTCCCCAGGCACCCAGGAGTGATAACAATTCCCTGGCATGCTCAGAGCAATGATTACATCAACCTGCTGTTAGGGATTCCTTGGCTTGTTTTCCTTCCAGAGAGCAGACAGTTATGAAAAGCAACACGAGAAGCACAGGGAGAGCTCTGTCAGAGCAGGGGGGATTGGTTCAAACCAGCTCCCACCAAAGCAATTTTCACCTACAGGATCCAGAGAGCCTGGAGTCACACTGGAGGAACAGCCAGACCACTGGGTACCAGCACCTCATTTCACACTGCCCTCAGAGCACAAACAGGCAAGGAGAACATTCTGAACAATATTCTGAACAACATTCTGAAGCCCAAAACCAAGGCTGGAAAAACTCCCAAGACCATCAAGTCCAACCTGTGATCGATCACCCAGCCCAGAGGCCTGAGTGCCACCTCCAGGTGTTCCTTGGACACTTCCAGGGATGGGGACCCCAAACCTCCTGAGCAGCCCCTTCCAAAGAAGAAATTCCACCCTGAGCCTGCCCTGGCCCACTCTGAAGCCATTCCCTCTCCTCCTGTCCCTGTTCCCTGGGAGCAGAACCTGACCCTCCCAGCTGTCCCCTCCTGTCAGGAGCTGTGCAGAGCCACAAGGGCCCCCTGAGCCTCCTTTGCTCCAGGCTGAGCCCCTGCCCAGCTCCCTCAGCTGCCTCACAAATGTCACTTCTGACCTGGCAAGAACCTGGGGCCAGGCTAACTCATGAAGGACCACCAGGACCCTGGGATGACAAGTCCAGTGTGCCTGGAGCAGCTCCAAGCAAAGGCCAGCAGGGAGGAGACCCAGCACCACCCAGCTCACCAGAACAGCTCTTCCCAAAACCCACCCAAATTCTCTTTCCATTTTCATTGGGAAAATAAAAGTATCCTACTTTTCCTACCCTTTGTTAATGCATTTGTTTAGTCCATCTTAATAATGGAATCACAGAATATCCTGAGCTGGAAGGCACCACCAGGATCATCAATCCAGCCCAGCCCCTGCACAGATCCTCCACCAACCCCACCCAGGGCATCCCTGGCAGCTCCTGGAGCTCTGGCAGCCTCGGGGCCGTGCCCATTCCCTGGGCAGTGCCAGCACCCTCTGGGGGAAGAACCTTGCCCTGATATTTGATATCTCTTTCCCACTGTGTTGACCAGAAAGATTTGGGTACAATTCCTGCCCTAGGAAGCTCTAGCAGCTCTATATTCTAAAAGTGATGCATTCCAGTATCTCAAACAACCTTATAATTCCCTAAACTTTCTGATTTTTGGTGCCCATCTGAGATTTAAAGACATTTCCAGCAATCTGAAAGCCTTCCTAGGCCTGGTCAGTACATGTGAAGCATCCAATCCAACCCCTGGCTGGACACCTGGTCAGTGCTGGACCCACACCAGGCTCTCAAAGGCCTCCTGGAGCACCTCACCCCTCCAGCCTCAGCCTGCCCATCCATTAAGAGGGGAACAGCCCCTCTGATGCTCCTGATTTCCAGCTGAAAGCCACAGATGTTGGGCACAAAGCATCTTTGCAGTCTCTCCAAAGCCTGAGTGGTCTCTGTGGCCATTTTTCCTGCTGAGGAAAAACTGCACTAAGAGATCCATTCCCCCTCATTCCAGGAAACCCAGCCTGGGATTGCCTCCCACATGGGCTCTGCTGGCTCACAGCCTCCAGAGAGAGCCCCAGAACATCCAAACATTGCTCCCCAGGGTTCTCTGGAGCACACAGAGACACAAACCTCACCTGCAGGAGCAGTGACTGAGGGTTCTCCAGGCAGGATTTGAATTTATCACCTCCACCTGCTCCCTCTCACACCACCCAGACCTCCCTGAGCACAGAAACAGGCACAAGGGTTTGTTTTTGATAGCAAAAACTCTGGGAGAAGATAAAGTGCTCCTTTTTTTCACTGTTTTATTTAACTATTTGAAAAGCTGTGGGCAGAGGGAGCCACAACTATGACTTTATTCTTTCAATTCTTGTTTCTCTTTCTGCATTCAGGGTCTTTAAAAGGCCATTTAAGCAATTATTGCAGCAAAGTCAGTGCCAGGAAAAAAATGCAAAGCAACAAAAAATAATCTCTGTAACCACAGCTGGAGGTTTCTAGAGCTCAGCTTTAGCACCTGGCTGAATGAAGCCTTCAAGATTTGTTGATTTAAACACTGTGCTCTCCCACCAGAGCAGTCAAACAACTTCAGTGGCTGCCTATGAGATAAACTGAGTAAGCAGAGGGCAAGAATTGCTCTACCTGCCATGAAAGCAACCAAAACAATGTGAATTAGAGCACTGCCCTAGGGAAAAAGTTACTGCATTACTCCAGAAAGCATCACAGGCTTTATGAAAAATCCATGAGGCTGAAATTAAAATCACACACACACACACACACACACACACACACTCTCTCACTTATTTCCCTTATTGTGAAATGCAATCTGATTGACTGTGGAAGTGGCACCAGCTTTCCAAACCTGTGCGAGCAGAGGTTTGATACAACAGAAATATGGAACTTCACAGCAGAGACTGAGAGAAACCACAATTCCCTGAGACACTGCAAGCAGGATCCTCCATTTCTTTGGAGTAAAACCCCTCCATTCTCCCATTCCCACTTCTGGCAGCCCCAAAACAAACCCATGAGCAGTTGGGAATGGCATTGTTCCCTCCACACTGAGCTCTGGGCTCCTGCAAGCAGCACCAGCCCAACATCCCCACCTCAAACCCAAACTGAAGATTTGCCCTTGGAGCATCAGTTTACATCAAGAGCAGCCTCACAATTTGTGTGGCTGGGTTTTCCCAAGCAGGACACCTGATCTGGTGACAGGAAAAGAGGAATGGCCATCCCAAGCTCACCAAGGGCACCTGCACAACTCAAAATATTTCACAGCTTTGCTGAACTCTGCCACAGGCAGGGATGGGCACACAGACCAGAGCCAGCAGGAGCCTCCCAGTGACAATACTGAATCAAACAGGAGCTCTTCCACAGCTCCAGACACCTGAAGAAACACTTCTTCCTGACATGACCTTTTCATCCCTCCTTTTTCATTCCCCAAAAAAAGCTTCACTGAAAACCTGCTAAAATCCTCATTTCAAACACACCTCGTGGCAGTGAGTTCTCCCCTTGAAAATGCTGCTCAGCAGCTTTTCTGCTCCTGTGCTGCAAGTGCAAGGGAATTATAAACCCAAAGTTTTTATCTCTCTAAAACTTGGTGACTTTATAGCATTCATCCCTTCTAAGTAGGCCAAAATTAGGTTTTCTCTATATTCAGTTTTCTCTCCAACTCACAGCTATTTAATCTACAACCATTCTTTCTTTAGTTAAAAAGAAATAAAAGGTAAGAATTTCTACCCTGCATCCATGAAGTGTAACCTTATTAATTAGAAACATTCCAGTTTTTTCAAAGCTTTTTTAGGCATCCCTCATGCCAGATGCAGCAGGAAAATCTTCTCCCATGGACCCCAGCACTGCCTGAATGCCCATCTGGGCTTGGATTCATTTAAAACAAAGGTTATTTAAAACTCAAGAGATCTACTGGTGATTTTGAAGTTGATACCAAGTAAATACATATTATTTAGGGGCTGGGTACATTTTAGTAACCCAAGGAATTTAAGACTTGGGAAGTTGGGCTATTCCACCATCCCTGTGACTCCACATGGCAAAGAACACCCAATAATAAATTTAAATCCCTGCTCTGAATTAACAGCTCCCTGAGAGCACTGCAGAGCTCCCTGCCCTCCCCAGGCTCAGGCAGAAGGGTCAGGCTCAAGTTTTCATCTCAGAACATCACAGTTGTCCAAAATGGAATTAAAATTCCCTGAAAGAAAACAGACTCTGGTGAAAATAGGAGAAAGCAGACCCTGATGAAAGCAGGGGAGAAGCTAAGGCAAGGTGAGACCACCTCATCTAATTTTAGGTGTCTAAAAGGCATCTCAGACTCTGGGGGCCCCTAAGTCACTGCTGCAACCAACAGAGAGAACCCACAAAAAGGCAACACAAAACCCACAAAAGCAGCACAGGCT